GGGACCAAGTATTGAAGATTAGGCAAAGAAAAATGAGTTTGTCCTGTTTTTTTTTTAAAAAAAAGGTCAGAGGCAGCAAATTCATTTCCAGACCTACCTTTTTTTTTTTTTTTTTGCTCCTCCATAGATGCAGCACTAGGCTACTACCTTTGACAGAATAAATACTGCCTTAATTCTTGCTTTTCTTTGCTGTATGGAAAGGTCCCAATGCATAATTGTGTTTTCCTACTATCTGTCCTTGGCTATTTAGGTTGCACTGCCACCTGCTGGGATATTGGAATTTTCAGTATTTTCATATTCTTTATTTGAAAATATTTTTTAATACATAAGATTACATCTTAGAATCTGAAGTAGCACCCATATTTGTAAATGTCTAGCATCCATGAAAATTCATTAGTTATTAAAAATCTGAATTACAAAATCTGGGGCATTTTAACTGACTCATCTTGTGTAAGATTTTAAACAATATTGCTGGTCATTAGCAATATTTTCTAGTGCCCAATTAACTTTACTTCCAAGATTTTCTAGTAGTTCAACTACTATTTGAAATCTTTCTATACTATCCTTCTGTATATTCATGGTTCTTTATATCTATGTACAGTACAATTTTGTCATCTTTGTATTTTATTCATGCCCCCATATCTATATAAAAGCTTCCTTGGATTTCTGTACATTTCCAAAATAAATATTTAATCTTTCCTATGCAATTATTTACTTTCTTTGCACTGCTTGTTTTATGGGTCTGTTTTTGCTCATCTGTGGAACTTAGTACTTAGGAAGGCAAATAGCTCCTGGTCCTTGCTGAAGCTACTTGATGAATAGTAAGCATATAATGTATGAAGACTTGTTCTTAAAAACCCTAAGAAAATTAATAACCTCCTTGCTGCAATATCATCTAGGTATGGTTTGAGATTGGATTTTTTTTCCTAACAATTAATTTGCAGTATTTTCATACCCACAATCATTATTACATTGCGAAAGAGTCAGCATTCAAAAGCTTTGGAGAACAAGGAGAAAGCATCCCATAATAAATCTGGAGCTGTCATTCAGCCAAGGGCTAGAGACCTTTTGCCCATGTTTTAATGCACTGAGCTCCTCTCACTAAAGCTACCTCCCTTAGGGAGCTGGCAAATATAAAGGGACATCTGCCTGAGCTGTTATATTAACACCCAAGACTTCCCATTAAAATCATACTCCTCTGGCAGTCCCAGGTTGAACCGCACTGACCTTTGCTGCCACTACAGTCAGTAACAATGATTCTGTTGTCAAATAAGCCGTCCCCAAACTCTGACCTCTCCCAGAAATTACAAAAGCACTGAAATGGGCTCTGAATGGGCTTGATTGCTGTATAGCAGCAGAAAATAGATATATGAAACGGTATAGTGCAGAAGTTGAATAGCCTTTGACTTCATTTTAAAGTAGCTTTTTTATTACATTTGTATGTCACCCTTCCTCTGAGGAGCTCCAAGTATACAGAATGGAATCTAGCACCATTACTATAAAATGGGGTTTCTTTTTCCCCTGTGGCAAGTCCTCATAACCTAGATTACATAGATCAGCCTGCAGAATTCAGTCAACCGCCTCCCTACAATAATTCCTTTTGAAGCAATTTTTTTTTCTACTCAAGATGCTTTGTGGCACATAAGTAGGTAAAATGTTTACGTATGAATGAGGTCAGATCAAAAATCATGTTTAATTGTTAAACATGCTATTCTATTGGTAACCTTAAAACTCTTGACTCAAAGGTTTAAATCAGTGGTGGGTTGCCCCCGGTTCGCACCGGTTCTATAGAACTGGTAGTAAAACCAGGAGGCTCCGCCCACCGGCCCCAACATCATCAAAATGCTTCTGTGCACGCAACCCCGCTGCGAACCAGTAGTAAAAGTAAGTAGAACCCACCCCTGGTTTAAATGCTTTAAATTTGAGGGATGGGGCACCTTAATCATTTGTTATATTTATTCTACTCCCATTCCCTATGTTGCCCTAAAAATACATTTTTAACCATTTGAAATTTCAACCCTGTGAATATTATATAAAGATATATTCTCTGTAAATCAGGGTAATCCTACCATCAGTCGTCTTCTTTAAATCATGTAATGGCTTAAATTAAAATACTACATTTTATGTTCTTTTTTTAAAAAAAAATCTGTTCTCTACTTAATCTTAAAAGCATTAAGCAGAATCCACAAGTTTTGTCAGTATTCCAGCTTTTAATTATATAAAGATACTTTGAACATCTTGAGATTTCTTTTCATGAAATACAGTTGATTAACCTTGTTCATCTTTTGAGAGCGATATGTAAGTTACTAGTCAGACACACAGTACATACAAAGTAAACTAAAAGCTCACAATATTTAGAATAAGACTTAGATTTCATGCTGAGCCCTATTCAGGTTATGAGTCAAGTGCCATGGGAAATTTACCCATGTGCAAAATACATGACAGAAAAAGAAAACTATAATAGGAAATTATACTACAGAAAAAGAATAGAACATTAATGATACTCCAAAGAGAAGTGAAACTTGTTACTTAAGAAATGTTAAAATGGCCTTTCTTCTCCAAATTCTACAACCAGCTGATGAGGTAATTTCTCTCTTCCCACTCTTCCCCCCAAAATCATGCCTCTTTTACTGTCCTGCTATACGGTGCTTAAGAAATACCTAAAATTCTAATGTTATCTGGTTTAATAATACTGCAAAAGGCTAAAGACGGAGAACCTTAATATTTAAAACAAATTACGTTTTATTTTGAGAAGTCTATAATGTCTTTACAATGTGGGTTTTTGTTTTTGTCTTTCCAGAAAAAGAGCTCAAAACGCTTCGTCATGAGAATCGGAAGACTGTAGCGCTTTCAGCAGCCATCATACTCCTAGTGTTTGTTATTTACACCTGCTGGACCATGTAACGTTTAGGTGCTGAAATCTAGTGACTACTGTAGATCGTGATGAGTCTACTTCCCTTCCCAAATTGTGCCAAGGATCAGCTTTCCATACCAATGTGCTCTGCAACTTGGACCATCTTAGTGTAGTCCTCCCAAAGAACTTCAGTAGAAAATTAACCAAGGACAAAAGGCGGGCTTAGTTGGACCTTCCAGCTGATGTCTAGGGAACGGGATTATGAGAGCAGGTTAGTTGCACCTTGATGGTAGAATAGCCTTCAGAGACTGAGCTGGGGCCACTGCATTTTTTTTTTATGGCAGGCAATATATCTTTATAGAGGCTTCCATGTCTTTCATTAAGTCCTTTTAATCATGTTAAAAATGTTTTTAATTCATAGATCGTTTTGTAAGCCAGCTGACTAATTGTATTTGTGAGCCAGTTGACTACTTTTATCAAACTCTATTAATTTTTTAAGGGAAGAAGTTACTGTATAGTTTTGCCTTCTTGGAGAAAAATGTCAGTCCAAGTGATTATTAATATTTGCATTTTGAACTGAAATAAAATGCAGAAATTTAAAAATAAATGTGCTTCCCTTTTCCTTTTCACTTTCCCTGGTCAGGTCTCCCTTGTCAATTTGTTGCTTTGTAATTCTCCTTCCTTTCCTGACTTTTAAGTTTTTCACCATGCTAGAGTTAATTGGCTTGACATTTTCCTGACTGCAACAATGCCTCAAGTTCAGTACCTATTAGCAGTACCTATTAGCACCTCCGTTGAAGGAAGAAGGCATTCTAATGCTGTCAAGCTGCTTTGTTTTGCTTTGGAAATACACTCCTGGCTCCTTTTAGTTTCTGCTTCAAATATGCGCTCAAGCCTCATTCCTTTTGTTTTCTACTTTGGCAATATAACCATGGCTCCCTCCTTTTGTATATGTGATTCAATTACATCCCTCTGCCCAAAAAAGTATATAAGTCACCTTTGAACTTCGCTGTTTTCAGTAAGAAAACAAATTCTGCTCTCACTTCCTTGCAAATAAATAAATTGCCTGTGTGTCAGTTTTAAATCCTTTTTCTTTAACATAATTTAAATATTAGGACTCTGCACATTTTAGAAATGACTTGCAAAATGTGCTTCAGACCTGACGTAATCTGAGCCCTTCTCTATAAAGCAGCCTATTTTTCAGTCTTCTGCTTAAACCTAAAAAAGATACCACAGCCTTAAGGAGTCATCAACTCATCAAAAGTGACTATCACTCTTCAAGCAGCCTCCCCAACAATGTAATCAAGGGTTTTGAAGATAAAATCCAATTTTGCCTAAATATCAGTTGCACAAAGCAAAAGAACTATTTCAGAAAGTCGGTTAACACTAGCAAAGTACCCCTGCTTGAAGTGCTAAAGAAGCTGCCCTACTCTTCAATCACTGCATGCATGCCCAAGTGGCTAGACATAAGCAGACCTTCAGATAACTTTTGAAGGAGCCATATGAGGCTTCCAAAGGACGTGGTAATTCAAAGCTTTGAGGAGAGCTGCTTTGCTCATAGTAGAGTGGGCATTTATTTCAAATCTATATATGTATTAACTGTATACTCCAATGTGCACAAAAATAAAACAATTGTTCAATTTTGTAAGAAAACAATCCCCCCCCCCTTGGGACAATTCACTGAACATCTGTCTTTTCTGAAATCACTTAACAAATTATAAAGTTAGGTAGGAAAACTATGTTGACGTATTTATATATTGCGTATTTTAAAATGGCATATTTCACAAAATACGAATTCTATCAGAACAGCCCTTTTTCTATACAGTCTTCTATCAGCTGCATTTCCTAAAATTTGACTCCTACAGATTGGATATACTCTAGTAATGTGACACGGAAGCTGCCAGTTTTCTGATGGGGTTTTGGCTCTGTAAGAGAAACACATATTTTTTGCCCCAAATTTAAGCTTTTTAAATAGTTTTTCTATTTCCTCCAAATGTTACCCCCAGATCCACCCTATGAAGCAGGTTGGGCTGGAACAGTGACAGACCTAAAATCACTCCAGAGTCAAGTGGTGCCAGAACTTGATCTTCCTCAGCCCCGGATGTATCATAAAGAGCTAGAATGTTTACGCCAAAAAGAAAACACATTTTTAAATTATAAGGATTGTATTGGCAATGCAAAGAACGGACAAGAAATCACAACTGATACATGAGTTCAGAGAACACACGCTGTAAACATTTCTTTCAGCAAGACATTTTTACCTCCTTCCCCTCACCTCAACGCTTCACAGACCAGTAAGAGAACAAACAAGAACAAGTTGAACTATCAATTGATCAAATCTTTCTAATTTTCTCTTTGTACTCTGGACATTTGGGCTCTGAATCAACATGAAGTCATTTTTCAGGACTGGTATAAATTTTGTTTTAAGGTTTCTAGGCACACACTCTTAATATTTTTAAAACACTTAAATAGTTTCCCTAGGAGAAGGTCCCAAAACGGGGCCTCTAGTTACAGCCAAAGTAAATAAAAGGAAGGCAGATAATTTGTGTACCAGACTCCATATACAAGCTTATCTACCACCAATCACTCTTTAATAACAGAAACTAAAATCAATCTTGCAATGAAATCTTCCTTCTGAAATATTCTAACTTGCGATGAGCTTAACTAGAAATATAATCTGAAAATTTGATAACATCTGTTGTATTTAAAGCAAAATGACTCTGACCTATTGGTTGCATCAGGATAGTCGGAAAAAGTGACAAAGTTTCTCATCAAATTATTTTAAAGCCAAGGCTATGAACTGTAGATGTCAGATTATTTAATCGCTGTCACTTCCTATTGCAAATAAACACTCAATTTGTTGTTTTACCCTCTAGTCTGCTCAGACAAAAAATTGTATTGTATGGAAAAGAAATTTGTTTTGAAACATGGTCAACTCTTGCCAAAAGAATCTTAAAAGGTAAATCTTTGTTTTCGAACTCTCAAAAGAGATTTAGCAAATCTCAGAACTGAATCTCCAATATTAAGTGCTTTTGTATACTTCAGCTTTGAAAGAAAAGGAGAGCTTTAAACTTCCATTCTTCTCAATATATTTTCAATAGAGGAATCTAGAAATATGATGAGATGAGATGATGGCAATTAAACTACATAACTGCTATTGCTAAAGTGAAGTATTAGCTATACTATACTTGAAGTGGCTCTGAAAGCTAGAACTACCGGTATTTATTTTAGCTAAGATTAAGATTTACTGGCAGTGTGCAAACATTTCTGAATTCAAAATATTGTGAGTTCAAAACAGTGGTTTCAAACAGTCTAAATGTTCTGAAACATCCCATTATAAGCATAAAACTATTTCAAACTTGAAGCAAAATTGTTTTGAGACTTAAACAGTTCCAGTAAGAACCACCATTCTAAACTTAGAATAATTCTTTCAATCGCAAAACATCTTGAATTCAAATATTTTGCTCATTTCTACAGTGTGTAGAATTTAAAAGTTCTCCTGTGCTAGTCAACTTTAATGGAGATAAAATCTATATAGAAACTTCTGCTTTCCCACATCAAATCCGTTTTTGACCATTTTCTTTGGGAGCTGAGACCTGGCTGATGCCTTCACTTACAAGACAGTCATATTTCTTTAAAACACAACATAGGCACCACTCACTCAATTACAAAGTCAGTATCTTCCTGCCAATGTGTGCAAAGGTTCAGTTTTAAATTTCTGAAGCCAAAAGAAGATGCTCTCTTTAGAAGTATGCAGCTCTTTCACAGGATCTAATTTATATAGTTCCTCTAAAGCCAATTCTCTAAATTGCAAATCTCCTTTACTTTCTGAAGGGAAAGTACTGGGTATAGAATTCAGAGAGGAAAATACTTGCATTGCCATATTTGAAAGTGGAGAGTGAGAAAAAGCATAATATATTTACTTGCATAGAAGCATGAAAGTCCAACTCTGATGAGAGTTGCAAGTTATGTTGACAGCAAGTGTACCTAAATTACTAATTCAAAAATTCTACCTGTCTGGTTCCTTCCTGCTAAGACCTGAACTCTCAAAAATCTCTAGGCTGCATTCACAAGCCAAATTACAAAAACCAAGTATGCTTCCCAGTGGAATCACAGAGAAAGGAACAAGAAAGATTACTAAAAGTATATTCATTTTTCTGTCCTCCTTTAAATAGTTTTGTCAAAAGTTGTCTGGCCTTCCATTTTACAAAATGCCACGTGTTCAGTGCATCCTCTTCTTTTGTTGCCTACTAGTAGAGCCCAGATGTCCGGGGGAGGGGGGAAGCCCTAGAAGATCCAGTGATGATCCATTCAGAAGAACGTGCACTGCTCCAGTCTTAACGTGGCCAGGAAGCAGGTACTTATATACTGCACGGTTTCCAATCCAAAGCTTTCTCCCATTTCTCTTGGATTGAGTCCTTATCATCCAATCGAACCACTTTGAAAAGTGTTTTTCTCCGTGGCTCCCTGCTGACTATTCCACACCTGGATCATTCCCCATACTCTAAGATGTGACAAGAGAGTAATCACAGGATGAAATGTCGTCTGATGAAGGATAGAACAGTTTCTTTCGATAGTTTCTCTGAATCTTCTTTTTTCTGAGAGTCGTGCATTTTGATACCATCATCCCATTCCCAGAAGAGGCGACCAAAGTAACAAATGCTGCATGCAAAAAAGATATAAAACAGTGTAAATATTTGGCTGAACTGATGAATACAAGGCATTTATTTCATTGGTAGATTTATAGCCATCCTTTCCAGCATGATAGGGTGGTACACGGCATCATCCAATTTTTCCTAGAAACAACTATAAACGGGTTGGGCCGAAAGATAATGAATGGCATTCAGTCAACATTGGAACCTTCATAGCTATGGGTCTCCCTGGTCCTAACCTAACAGACTCCCTGGTCCTAATCTTTATACCTGCAACCTGATTGCAGGTATAAAGACCCCCAATCATGAACATTTCTAGTTTCTCAAAAGTATCAGGGCAAATGTATGTGCCTGAGCCAAGTAATCATGGACTATATCAGATTAAATCAGAGAGACCCAATCTTGAAGGCCTATGGACGAAATCTTTAAGGAAAATATAAGCATAATTATTTAATGACTATTATTAGAGTTGGCTCACTTACAGAACTATTGTTATCATAAGCACAGCAAAACCTATCACGACAAGCAAATTATAATGCTAAGTATGAGGCAGCAGGGGGCCTGAAATATAAAAATGCTCATCTGAATCCCGATGTTCTGATCCAAAAGAATTTAACATTTATATCACACTGATATCACCACGCCTTTGGCATGGTGTACATTTATTTTCAAAAAGAAACAAATTATATATGCTTAATGGTATCTAGCCATACTAATAAAGGAGAATATTTGTAGCTCAGGCTTAACATGAGGGGCCTTTGGTGCTGAGCTTGCTTGTTTTCTTGCAGTTGTCTCATTATCCAAACTAGGTAACCTCATCAATGCTAGTGACTGATGATGTTACCTAGTTTGGGTAATGAAACGTCTGCAAGAAAACAAGCAAACTCAGAGAGCACCAAGGATCTTTCATATCTAGCCATTTTTAAATCTGAAAAAATATGAAATTCTGGGTATAACTTCACAAATTAAATTAGTTCTTATTCTGACATTTGGTTAGTCTGCTAAATTTATATTATTAAGACCAAAACAATCCCTAAACTTAATCAATGTGTTCCTAAGTGGCTATAATGGACAGTAAAGGAAAAGAAAGAAGGGTGGGAGAGACAGAATTATGGATTATTCATATTATTTTTATTCTTAAAAAAAAACCTGCATGCATACAAATATACGGCAGAGAATAGCCTCTAAAATAAATGAAACAGTACTCTGGGGAATTTATGAAACCCTCACCTCTTTAGCCTTTATGGACACAGCAACCAACTCTAAAAACCAGGGCAGGGAGATGAACCAGTATGGCTAGGAACTATGGTAGGTTGCATTACCTACAGCAGGACCTTTCCAGCATCTCCATTCTAGATACCCTGAATGATCCCGGTAAGGGAAAAGATTAAAGATTAAAATCCTAATCAATGTCTATATGTTTGTTTTTATACATTTCCATATCCATTCTTCTTTTGGGGGGGGGTCAGCATGTCAAGAGTGAAACTTTGGCAGCTATGTGCCTCTTCGTTTCAACTTGCCACTAGAATGGGGGGGGAGGTGTTGCTTTAGAATGGATTAGTTACAAAAGTGAAATCTTTATGATTCCGCTGAAGACCGTGAGTGCCTTAAACCTTTTCAAGGACATCACGATGGATGGAGTTGAAGCACAGAGTTCCCATAACAAAATGAACTTGTTTACATGGACTACATGAGAACTTGGGGGTTTGGCTGGGGAAATTATCCTTTAATTCTATGAACTGGTGTTTGGGAACTTCAGAGTTAGTTTTGCTTTGACATTACCATGCAGTGTATTCAATAAACAGTAAGATTTTCAGAAACGGAATAAACATGGGAGTTTTATTTGGATTCTCGAGCTGGATGTTGACACTTACCTTCTATTGTTTTGCACAATTACATTGACTTAATTACTTTATTTTGTGGCATTAGCTTTACATTTCCCCATGAAAGTCCATAGTTAGCAAGGGAGGGAGAGGAAATTGCCAAGAACTACAAAGTGGAAATGTCTATTTTAAACTGGATTTGTAGACTCAGAGCATTAGAAGTCAGTATCTGATCAAAGATGGAGAATTTTTTGTCTTTACTCCAATGCCTTAAATGTCTAACTTCACCTAGATCAAATATTCTGCAGAATCAGAAGGACTGCTACTGCAAAGGCACCCAAATCTATACATAGAAGATAAAATACCAAAAACTGTTTTATTTGTATATCATGTCAGAACATAGATGGATGGGATGACAGCCCAAAATAGAAATTGAGAATTTTAAAGCATCTGGCAAGGGAAATGAAGTAAACTCCCAAGAATATATAAAAATGGTTTACATAGAAAGATCTGACAAAATAAATGCAGTAGGAACTATAGCAATTTTCTAGATAAAAGAAACTGTGTAAATACAGAACTTTTTATATATACTTAAAAAAATTGTGTGCTCATGTAGGTACACCTGTCCCTTATTTGAAACCTTCTTACTGAATAAGTATTCCAGAGCTCAGATTCTCTTCTTGATTTGAGGCTGCTGACAAATTGATAAAAACCAAGCACCTCACAGCAAGAAATGTAACAACCAGGCCCAACAATTACTGGCATTTAATATTCATAGTCTATTTAGTTACAGTATTTTAAGAAATGGATTATTGGACTTGAAACATTGTGTCAAGAACATATATCAGTGTCTATTTATAAACACACTAAAGCTCTCATGGTAATGCAATGCATCCATTACTAAAACCACACTCAGAATAAATCTAAAAATACCAGGGCTGAAGAAGCTTCCGTCTCCTAGTGAAGTACTGTCAGGAAAAGTATTCGGTGTGATGATAAAAGAAAGAAGAAAGTTTGTACAAAACATTATTTACTGTGCTTAGAGAGCAAAGAAAAGAAGCTCAAAGGATTCACAGTATCTGTCAAAACCCATCACTGAAAGAGGAGGAAAACTAGAAACAAATCAGGAAAATCACAAATCTTGGCAGTCTTGCATGTGAGAACTATATTTCACCATCATTAAAAGGAGAAACTAAAGAATAAAATATTTACTATGCTACCCCTCCATCCATCCAGTTACTCCTTTAAATGGTTTTCCCCCCATTATTCTTTTAATTTAAAAAATGGGAAGCTGCAATGCTGCAAAGATAAGCATTGATCTTTAGGATCATGTTTCTTGGAAAAAGTACATCAGAATCTGCAAATAAAAAGGGGGATGGCTGCAGCTCACTGTTCTCTTTGCCCATATGCACACTTTCTACATAGCAGAAAGCATGAAGGAAACCTAGAAGTGATAGCAGGAAACAAGATGGCAAATAAATGGAAGTTTTGTGAATATCCATAACTATGATTGCAACCTATCTCCACTCCCACCCAAAATAATAGCAATTTTAGAAGCGCGCCCTCACCATGTTCTCAAAATTTCAAAAGTGCAAATATCAACTAAAATATTTCCTGTCCCTGGCATGGACACAAAGTGGGTAGAATGACAAAGATTGGTAAGGAATAGATGAGAAAACTTACAAATTAGGTGCTAGTAAAATTGTTTAAACTATTTTGAGAAAATTGAGAAAAAAAGTTGTTCTTAAGTTCTTACAGAAATTCAAGTGAGAGAGTCAGAGAAAACCCTGAAGTTACAGAGTGAGAAAATGGAAGAAAGATAATATAGAAAATCGGAGAAAATTTCATCATAAAGTTATGAATGAGAGATTAAGCATCTCTGAGAAATAAATCTGTACATCTCTAGCTGACAGGAAAAAGAAAATCCAGCCTTCCTTTATGGCATAAAAACAGTGAATGGTTGAGCACATTTCTTACAGAAAGCAGCTGCAAATTTAAAGGAAGTTCACAAGATCAAAGACTGTCATCTGAAAAGAATCTGAGGCAAGTAAATCAAAACAAGATATATTTTTTTCAAAAATACAAAACAGAAAGATTGTGAAGCTGACTGAAGGCTACAGAAACTCCACAAATTTAAGGATTAGATTGGTTGTTGGAATGTTCACATCTTTGTTTCTTCCTTGACTAATAGAATTGTGTCCTGAGTGAGTTCCTCTGAAGTACTGATCAGGGGAAGGGATTTTTCTTAAAAAAAAAAAATTCTCCCAATGAAATGATGAATTAGGTTTAATTAAGCAGGGAGACAGCCCATATTAATTTCCAAAATACAGACTGAACAAGGCAATCTGCAAAATGTATTTATGCGCAAGCTGTAAAGCAATCTGTACTTCAGAATGTTGCCTACAAAATATCTTTAATGTGTCATCAGATGCAGAAAGTCATTTACAACTACAAAAAAAGCTCAGACATCCAAGATGGTTCGAATAAAAGGAAGAATCATTGTAAAAACATAGGAAATAAGTAAGGAAAGAGCTATGAATTAAAATATAGTGTAAGCCCATTATAAATTACAAATTCAAATGGAGTTTGTTTATTTATAAATGAAATAAAGAGTTTAACTAGAAAACAGTTGATGCAAACGCAAATAACAAATGCAAAAGGTGGTATAATATATAACAAACTAGCATCTGGACCTATAAACCAAAGAGATTTGCTACAGCTCAATTAAGAAATTAGAAATGAGCAATAATGAACTGTCTTCTTACTTCTCTCTTAAAGTCTAAGGATTTCAAATTCACAACTCACTCTCTTTGACAGCAGGTTAATCTGCTGGACCCAGCACAGAAAAATCCTTTTGCTTGGAATAATAAATTAATAATGCATGTTTCTACTTTTGCTTATGTAACTCAAATATTTTTAATTAGCTATTTAAAGGTATTATAAGCATCCAGAATTCCCAAGCACTGTCAGAAGTGTTGATACAAATGTCTTCTCTTAGACTATTCCTACACTTGGAAACCAATTTCTGGTTTCCCACTCTTTAAATGCTAATATTTCTACTTTGTAAAGTTTCACCAATTTCAATAAGAACCTAAGACTCATCATTCTTTGAAGAAGCTAAACAAACGTTAGCATGGCTATAATACTATTCTGAAGGTGCCTAAGAAAACTCTGTTACATAAAGTGATCTATATTATATTTAATGTGTACAATGTTTGTGAGAAATAAATTACCTCAGTCCCCATGTGAATTCCATTTTAATTTAATTTTATATTCGTAATATTATGGTACAGTCATAGAGAAGAAAAGAATTTCCTGTCGTAAAAGGATGAAAGCTGACAAGAATCAGAATCCAAGTAGGCATCTGTGCCGGAATCTAAAATATCTTACCAGAGCTTACCAGACTAAACAAATTTGGTCAGTAAGGAATGCAATGTCTTAAAAAGCATATTGATTCAGAATTGTCTCATATGTTTTTATTTGCTTTCCTTGTTTTTAGAAATTAGTACAAACTTTACAGAACAGAAGGAGAAATAAATAAATAAAAAGTTCTAATGTGATTCTGCATCTAGCTTTTTCCTCCTGGATGAATTGCTACTATTTGCAAATTCAATACTCACTGAAATGGTGCTACAGACTCTGGAGGCAGGTCGTACGTGGACTTCTTTGTTGCCTTATTGTAGAAAAACTTTTTGTTAGAGGTTTTGCTGAATGCCATTGTCCAGGGGTCTTTGAAGAAAACCAAGAAGACAGAATCAAAAAACAAAAGAGGAGAAAGAAACACATCAAAATTTCTAATTGTAATGTTCCTTTGTACCATTCTCAGCAAACTACTTAACATATAAACTATTGTTTGGCTAATGCAGCATAAGAACATCAAAATAGAAAAATAGGTAATTTCTGTAGAACAGCAACCATACAATAATCACAATACAGTACTTTATTTTTTAAAATTCATAAGCAACCCTGCTTTGAACTAAAAGGTTATGAGGTGATTTTGTGCCAGTTACTAATGATGGCTGGTAAGGAACACAAATAGCATATGAAGAAGCTAGTTACAGCAAACATCTTTCAGCATTTTAAAGTTCTTTTCAAGAAAATAAACAGAAGAATCCAAGAAGCTCTCCCTCGGCCTCTAACATTTTCTATGCACTTTCTACCACCCGAGGTAGGAAGAAAAGACATTAAAATATAATAAGGGGGCAACAAATCAAGAAGGAAATCCGTGTTTGTTTTTTCTCATTCTACAAAGCAAAAATAATAAAAAGTGTCCTTACTTAATTTTCTCAACATCATCCCCCCCCCCTTACACACACACACACACAATGATATCGATCCACAGTGCTCAAATTCCAGGCCTCAGGCTTGACTATTATATCAGACTTTGCATGAGTAGAAATTGATTTACCACTGACAGTCCGAACGATGTACAATCCAAAAGGTACAAAATGCCTGTCATCACGACCAGTGTAGGATAGCCGTGGGATTCCACCTGAGCTCTTGATAACCTTCATTTCTAACCTAAGTTAACAAACATGTGAAGAGAAAGAAAGAGAGAAAGAATGAGAAACAATCAGTATCTTTGCATAAACTATAAGAATCTCATAAGCTCTGACAGTCAATATGATTTGGTAGCAGGTAAAACAGGACTTGGACAAAGAGATCTAGTTTAAATTTTGTTCAATACAAATTCAGTATTGGCCAAATCAGTTCAACACCTTAGCTCTCTATCACAAGTAGTGATTTATCTCAGACAGATGCTGTAAAGATGAAGAAATCATAAGGTGGTTGGGTCCACAATTTTTGGATGAAGCTTGGTACCCATTTTTTTTAAGGTAGAATTCTATCTCCTCCAAGAATTGGAGTCTTGTCCCTAACATTACGACGCACCTTCCAAGTTCAACGTGAAACCCTATGATAAAACATGGCTGCTCGCTATGTATTCTAAAGCCTCAAGAACTGCAGAGCCAATAGAAATCCCAGCATACATCTATAATTTGAAGTGTGAATTTTGAGGAAATAACTTTCTCGTCCATTTCCAGAGGTTAGTAGAACCTTGAGGCTGTTACATTCATCGGAGATTGGCGGAATGCCTGCAAAGGCTTTGAATGAGGGTGCTGAGGGGCTCAGAATATTATAAAGTATAATAAGCATAAAAACTGTGAGGGAAACTAAGGTCAAGTTCTTCCATGAATCTCTGCCATAAACGAAATTCATATTTTACAAGAGGTAAAGCGATGAGGACTGTTGATGAATGGTTTTTTAGCCCTAAGTATGACTGCATCCAGATTAAACTGATTTTTTTAAAAAAGACATTTTTCCAATAGGTAAACATCTATTCCACTCTTGTTTTAGGCAAAAGTGACATCATCATACCACACTGTGGTTGTTGTTTTTTTAACCCTATTGATTTGGCAATAAGGAATAAATGATTTTCCTTCCAATATATACTCTATACCTTTTCTTTTTTCTACAGGCTGGTCAATCAGAACATAATAATACTGCTTTCCCAAACAGTAACAGAATTCTACGTTTTCAATCTGCAAATTAAATTACGTTTTAAAAAAATTCTGAGGACTTACCTCAGAAAGATCTTTTCCATATCCTCTAGCCTGTACACTTCCTTCACTCTGTGGGAATAAAACCAGTAAGCTTGGATATGTAAGCGCCAACCTCTGACTGTATCTAGGTTTCCTATAGTCCCCTTCTAGACAGAGTTGGGAACAAGCTATGGAACTTTTGCTGAATATTTTTAATACCTTGCCCTTTAAGCATATGATGACCCCCACACAAAAAAGGAGAAACCGCAGCCTTCGTGATTAAAGAGAAAAGATTGAAGAAGACTAAAAAACAATATATAATAAACAACGAAGAGTAACTGCACATAGTTTTTAAATATTTGTTCACTCTCGGGATCATTACAGAATTGAATCTATAGATTTAAGCATTTCTGGACTGCAACAACACCAATCCACTTGGTAATTCCAGATAGCAAAGTCAAACCATTCTGCTGAGCAAGTTAACCTTGCCATAAATTGTTGCTAAACAGAAAAATGCAGAATTATTCGTATAGAGAAAATTAAGGCTAGCTTTTTGAAAGTCTGTTCCAGCAAGTGTTATACGGTATATGCTAAATAAAAATCACAAATGGGCTTGCTTTTGGGGGAGATGCTTTGGAGTCAGTGGGGACTGCAAGTGCCTTGACACATTCCTGTAGTCTCCTTGGCAAAGATTTTTCAAAAATAGTTTTCACTGCCTGCTTCCTGGGGCTGAGAGAGAGGGACTGATCCAAGGTCACGCAGCTGGCTTTGTGTCTAAGGTGGGACTAGAACTCATCCAGTTTCAAGCCTGATGTTTTAACCACTACAAGAAGAATCCAAGAGGACTTGTTCACCTGATGGGGCTCATATCTGGACGGCTAGGTTTAGAGACAGCTTTCACAAACTTTTCTGCCAGCTGAATTCTGCAATCAGAAAGAGAGATTTATACATGGTACGGTATTGGACATTAAGAAAACTTATATGAGAATTTTCTGCAGTGTCTGCTGGGCAGATATTCCCAAAACAAACATAAAAAAATGATTGGATTTAATAATTCAGGCCTCTTCTGAAGAAAAGGTGATTAGTTGTTACCTAGTCTTCTTTCCAACAGGCATGTCTCCTTTGATAAAGTGGACAAAAAGAAAACAAAAAGGTTTCTAATATTGATCTGAAAAACTGTCTTGAACAGTGCAGATGAAAAGTTAAAAGAAGCCCCACTATCCCACAAAAATATTTATGCAATGGTCTACCCAAACGCTACTTACCGTTGATTGAAATGCTGCTCTTTAACATCACTGCCATTCAGCACCAAAGCATCCAGGATGTGGATGGCGTGGATTTTTCGCTGGGCTTTGCCCTAGAAAGAAAGGGAATTAGGAACATCTCAAAGTGCTACTCCTTGCATATAATGGTAGTCCTTATGAGTGACCACAGTTTATTTATTAAATTTATATGCCACTCATCTCACTTTTTTAAGCAACTGTGGGTGGCTGAATCTAAAATTTAGTCTGTTTCAATGTGGACCAATATGCAGATTTTCAGGCAGAGGGATGGAAAGACTTTAGTTCAGCCGGAAGATACTCAGAACAGATTGCAGTAAATTGGGATCAGAAATTCAGTCATTAAGTGAAACCTTAACAATGCTTAATCTTACTTTGGGGTTTGTTTGTTTTTCTTTACAGACCGGCAAAATTCATAAATGCAAGGATTGGTCATAAAGTTATTTTTCCATCACTGTCATAACTGCTAACAGTTGCTGTATGAGCCAGTTGCTAAGTGAGATCTACTTGCATTCAATCTCAGTTTATATAAGTGAGATTAAATAGCACAATTTTTAATCAAAAAGTGCCCCTATCAATTTCTCCCCACTACCTTCTCTTTTATGAACCTTGAGGTCAAAAGTAATTTTATCTTCTGACTGGCTTTTATCTATTCTTGGGTTTTTTCTCCTTTTATTGATGTTTTATTTTATGGTATGTCTTTGGATTTGCAGAAACGCTTAGAGCCAATGAAGTTATTTCTCTGGAATTATCATGCCTGTAAATGCAAAACCACTCTGTCTTGGAAGTATGCGATCTGAATCTGTTCAGCCTCCAGCCACTGGGTCAACACTTCAACCACCTCATCTCTTTGGCCCAGAGATAAGATACAACCCAGAGCTTTTCTCTGAGACTCCCTCTGTTTTTCAACCATGTGATGCTTATTTTAGGGATTATACTACAGGCTTTATGTTGTTTTCCTACATCAAAATAGCTGAAACACTTTACTTTTTTGCTATTGTGGCCACAGTTAGTCCACTTCTGCTTTTGGCCAGTGTTTCTCACCTCAGCAACTTTTAAGATACGTGGATTTCAGCTCCCTTAGTTCCCAGCAGTCTATGCATCTTAAAAGTTGCTGAGGCTGAGAAATTCCTAGCCAAACATAAGAATTTTTTTTCCTGTCAAGGGCTAGATATCCTGAGGGACAATTTACTGGGAGCTGCACAGTGGTTATAAATGTGGCCAGCAGAAAGATTGGTTAGGGACTATGCCCTTGTTCTCTCTCCTCTCTCTTTTCATCCATCACACTGTTCAAGGAAGGAAACAGGGCAAAAACATTTTCAAAAGAAAACATCTCTGAAGGTCACCAACCTCTCCTTTCAGCTCAGGAACAATTTCCACACAAAGAAGTGTATCCCGTGGCAGTTCTATCTTCAATTCCAGTTTGGTCCAGCGGTCTGATTGGCGACCAAGCCAAGTGTATATCTGAGACTTCTGCATATAAGCAAAAAAGGAGGTAGTCGGATTAGAGGCAGAAGCAGCCCACCGAAGAAACCACATGCTCTCAAGCAGTTTGTAGTATAACAGGTGAGAGAAATGTGCATCCAAACTAGGATGATGTCTTAAGAAGGATATGAAAGAGATGTTATTAGGAAAGACAATAAACATTCAGTTTCCTTAACAAGACTCTCTAACTATTCCCAAAAATGTGACTTAATTTCACATAAGAAATATTAATTATTATAACCAAATAAGCAGAGATATTTCATCAAGTTATGAAACAAAGTTTTCATTTATCTTCAAATGACAAGGAGAATCCACCAGTCAAATTATCATCTTGGTAACATTTTGTTTCTTTTGTGTGTCTTCAAGTCAGTGTTGACTCCTGACGACAGCCTGGACAACCAGAAAGAAAAACGTACCTAATCTAAACAAATTCCACGTTACTTAAAATATATTATTTCACCTATTGATATTAACCAATATGTTTAATTATCACATACCCCTAATGACAGAAGGAACTTCTGCTCATTTCCCGATACCATGCATCTGTAATCCAGCACCGGTCGAATTTTGTGCAAAGTTTTTGAGTTGAGAGGAGTTGATTTATAACTAAAGATCTCTACGTTAGTACCCTAAAGCAAAATTGAAAGAGACAGAATGAAAGAGAATTCCACAATTTATTTCAATATGGTGACCTCCAGAGATCTGATCTGTAACTTTCATCAGTCACATCTACTGAGCAAGCTGACCAAGCATAATGAGAGTCTCTGAAAGAGACTAAGTTGAGGAAAGTAAAGGGCTAAATCTATGACTAGCATTAAAATACATTACAATGCTTTATGTACTGAGATAGAGCCTTGCTGGTACAGTGGTCTAAGCACCCTGTTATTAACACAGCTGCCTGCAATTTACTGCTGGTTCGAATCTCTCCAAGGCTCAAGGTTGACTCAGCCTTCCATCCTTTCTAAGGTAGGTGAAATGAGGACCCAGTTTGTGGGGGCAATAAGCTGACTTTGTATAAATATACAAAAGGATGAAGGCTATTGCTTAACGCATTGTAAGTCGCCCTGAGTCTCCGGAAAAGGGCGGCATATAAATCAAATTAAAAATAAAAAATAAATAAAAAATAAAAAATAGCAGAATGTGCTATCTTCAGAGCCTATCAGCATGATAAATGCTTATCAGCCTACCTATCTTAGCATAAAGTAACTTCCATGAAGCTTAAGTTCCATCTTTATATATCCCTTTTCCTATAGTTTTAGAAAAGGCTCAGCCAATTGAATCTAACCATAGTGTCTAAGTGAAAGCCCTTCACAGTGCATTTCAAGCCAGCAGCTTTACAAGAATGTTAACCAAAGAACAGCTGACATTAAGTCTGGCCAGGTATTTTTTTTAATCTTTGCTTTCTATGAATGGCACCAAAGAGGGCATGAATGTCATCTAAATATCTCGACACAGAAAATGGGGAAAAAATTCTTACCTGAGTTAGTTCATAGAATTTGGACAAGGGATCAGAAGAGGATGGAGCAATTCGGGCTTGATCTGGAATCTAGAAAGATTAAAAATTTAATTAGTTTAAAATTATAAATTGCCTACATTTCCCTGATTTTTTTTGTATTATGTAAGGAAAAAAACACGGCAATTTTACTATAAAGAAAAAAAATCAGACAATTTTATTCTTGTAGAAGCTATTGTTGAATCAAAATATTATTTTTCCACATATATTTTTATCTTCTCAATCCTCCTTCCTCATGAATCCCACACAAAGGACAGTGGGGATTTTCTGTTATAATAAACTACCCGAGTGGCCTTTGTCCATGCCTGCAAATTATCCAAAAGAATTAGGCAGTTCATTTAAACGTGAATGAGAATGAAAGTTCCTTTTCAAATCAGTAAAATACTTTTCATGCAATACATTATTAGCCTATAAAACAGGCTGCAATAAAAATCCCCCAAATCCAAGATCCATGCAGAGAAACCAACCTGCAATGAAACTATTAGTTCCCTTCAGCTATTAGCAATAAACTATATTTAATTCTACTGCATTATCTACTCTGTAATTTCAATGAATATTTATTATATTTGAAAAAAATACCCTTATATGAAAGATTTCAAACCTAAAATGTTGCAGAGATCCTTGCAAGTTCTCAGCTAGTAATCTCTATTTGGAGATATCATAACAATATCAATATTTTTTTTTTACTTTGGGATAATTAGCCAAGAAAACACTGTATTATGATTCCTCGCTTATAATTACATTTTTATACATCCATGACAAGTTTTAATTGTATGACAACACTGTTACCATAATACCTGCATCATTCAGGATGTCAAACGTTTTGTTGTGATTATAATCATGAGATAATTTAGATAGCAATTTTATTCTTGTTTTCTTTCTCCTAAAAACAAGGGATATATTTCCAACTCTGTCCTTCATCCTTCCAGTCAACTGGGCCAGTCAGGAGTTTTTCTTCCTCAACAATGAGTGCTTTTTATTAACAGAACTCTTACTCTCACAGAAACTAGCAGAACAAGCTGCCATCTGAGGAGGAAGCAGGATTTTCAATTCAGAGATGAAATGCTATCATTTTAACTTCCCAAGTCTTCCCTGCAGTGACAGGAGTGAAAAGAAGACTAACTTCTAAAAGGCTGAGACTTCACCTGTAAAATAGTAACTTCCAGCTGTGTTTCAGACATATTAAAGAGGATTGTGTCAGCTGGATAAAGAAGACAGTACAACTAGTTTAAGAAAATCATAAATAATGCCAGACTAGGTCAATTTGTACCTGCAATGTTATTAAAAACTGACATCAACTGGTTGCGAAGGGTCATCCTGAGCATACCTTTTGATCTTCTAAAGACAAAAGAATCCTTTCTGACAGAGAATATATGATGTTCTTATTCGGACTGCAGAAACCTAGTTCTTATATTAAGAAAGTTGAGAACCACAAAATACAATGGTTGTAATATTTTGCTTCTTTGTCTTACTCACCCCCCAAAGTCGGAGGCATTCTTTTCGGATATCAGCTTGACGTGGTTCATTCAAAGTCCTAAAAGAATATATAAGTGTCTAAATCTTCCCCCAAAAAGATACTTGAGGTTCTTTTTATCCCATCTACTCAATGATAACTTATTACTATCCATTCATCTAGTCACTGAGTCACATTGCTTGAATTGGGTGATCTTATGAATAGATAATACATAAAAAAACAATACAGGTGTCCTCAATTTACAACGGTTCACTTAGCAACCACTCAAAGTAATAACAGATCTGTGTTGGGGCTACTTATAACCTAGATTCAAACTTCCAGCAGACAGACAGACCAGAGACACAGACACACAAACACACACACACAGAGTTACATGACTGAACTACGAACACTTGACAACACAGCCACATTTTACAACCATCATGACTTACAACCATGATGGGCAGACTTCATTATGGTCGTAATTTGAGGACTACCTGTAGTTTTTGAAACCCAATGCTGCCTCACATATAATCTTGTTTCCCTACTAGTATGGCATTCTTGCGTTTGAAAAAAAACTCAATCTATAGTAGCTCAAATAAGAAAAAGCCAACCTACCATATTACAGATTTGGGCCATAAAAAACACTGCTTCTACCGAAGGAAAATCAATAGGACAAATTTAGTGACAACACACTAGGTAGGGCCCAGTGACTTGAAAGACAATAAAATCCTACTAAATTTACTCTAAATCAGTCCCATTGTAATCATACCATGGCTAAATTTGTACCTTACCACTATAAATGAAAATTATATTCATGAGACTAATTATGCATCTCAGAGAATCTACACATTAATTTCCAGTAAAATTCTTAAGTATAGTTTTGTAGAACACTTTTGAAAATACCAAATCTACTTACGTGTCTTGAACAAAGGCAGGAATTTTGGCCAGGGCTTTAATCTGAACAGCACAGAATCTGCAAGAGAAAGCAGGTCTATTCTAGAGCATTCAGAGGAACTTGTTAAATGAAAGTCTTATGAATCAAAATATGGATTAAAAAAATAAGAGGCAGAACAAAAATAAAACATGTAGATTTGTACCACATTATAATGAATCGCATTGCACTGATACTGTTAGAAATTGAAGAGTATTTCATTTACAATTTTTGCTCATGATATTTTTCATTGGGTGAAATCCAGTGATTACTGGATCCCTTATCTATAATATTACCGCACATTTTAAATGTGTGTGTCAAATTTTTCAATTTTCAATTTCCAAACATTAGGAGTCCTCAAAACATTGGTTACTTTAATATCATTTAGATGCACTTGGTAAATAACTACATAAACATCATAACTTTTTAATATTTTGTTTGTTTCATTTGCCCAACAGGGATGCCTACACCTCCAAAGATCTGAAACTAATGCTTCAGGCAGCAAAATAGTAGCACCTCTCTGTTATTCATTAAAGCAGAACCTCTCTTTGGGCTGTCACAAAGTATGAAAGAAGACATGGCTACTTTAACATAGAAGACTAGAAAAACGAAGTGTATATTCTCATGAGTGCAGAGGGGTGTTTGAAGCATTTCTTTCAAATCGTTTTCAAGTATGCACTAACTCACTGTAGAATAGGAGACACAATCAGCCTCCCAAATCCTTGGGGTAGCCAGGCCTCAGTAGGTAAGGAATTAGATATAATATTCTATTTCACCACTTGCCTTTTGTCAAACATACACAATGATTTAGCTTCTTTGGTTTAAGAAAAAATGAGTCTTGGAAAAGAGATAACTTGCCTATGATATCAGAATAGAAGACTAAAATTGGAGAAAATGCTGCAATTGGGAGTATATATCCACAATAGAAGTTTAACTAATTCAAGCAGAAGTGGCTTCCTTATATGCAATATATCACAAAGCAAGGCAGATCTGGATACCTGGAATATGGTTAGGGCTCCAATAAAAACTAACAACATCTACTAATGCTTGGTGTGAAGTTTTACTATCTAATCTGTGGCCAGCGATTAGAGATACAAATAGAAGGGGATGGGAAAATATGTACAGGTAGTCCTCAAGTTACAAATGTAATAGAGCCTGCCTATTCCATTTGTAACCCGAGGATTCGTAGGAGTGAATCTCATACCTTGAACCTGGTCATTCCCTTCTTTCGTTTTTTCCAAAGGACTGGCAAAGCCTATAGAGACGCAATCTCCCTGCAGGCTTCGGCAAGGAAACAGCAAACGGCAAATATCCAGGCCTCAATTCACGGAGAATAGAGGCTTAAACTGCGAGTTCACGCGAGATCAATAGCACGAGATCTCACGCTACTGATCTCGCGGTACATTAGGCCTTTGTTCTCTATGAATGCATCGAAAGCCTAAAGCAACAAAGTAGGCAAAGAAACCGCGACAGAGAGATGATCTTTGCAAGTTAAGTGAGTCTTCACAAGCACAGTGCCTGTAAAGACCCGGGGGGGGGGGGGGTAGGTTGAATAGGCAGGGCGAATGTTGTAGAGCCTCTGCGGTCGTTCATAAGGGCGAACAACTGCTGTGGTGTTGCAACATTTGTAATTTGGGGATTTGTTCGTAAACACTAGGGGGCGCTTATTGCATAATTTTGAACGTTTGCTAAGTGAATGTTTGTAACCCGGGGATTACCTGTAATTAAAAAGTGTTCCATGTTTTTAAATTCAGAGAGAGAGTCTTCTTCATATCATATTTCTTTTCTAACTTCCTTTGCATTTTATTATTTGCTTTTCCCCTCTCTGCATTTCAGTATTTTAACGATAAACACATGGATGAAAAAAGTATCTTATAAAGTATGTTCTTATGCAAACTATTAAATTTAAAAAGATATTTTCAGATAGTAAAAGTAACTTGGTAAAATCACTAGCAAAAAGAGTGCAACTATCCAAAGGCAAATCCTTTATTTTTTCCTGCAGAAAGTTTTTGGGTTTGTTTTTTGTTTTTTGTATTAACTCACCTTTCATTTGAGCGGATCATGTAGTCATAGAAATCATGATCGCCTCTGATTACTTCCAAAGGAACAACAAGATTAACATCTTGGTCAGAGTTGCGTAGCTGGTTCATTTTCATGTTCACTGTGAAAAGATAGTCTCTCACTTCTTCAATTCCAGCTTTTAAACCACGGCATATCACATACCTGTAGAGGCACAAAATACTTTTTTCCTTGTTTTTTGTGGGTTTGAGTTTTTTACACAATGACTAATACCTTTTGCTAGATTAGAAGGGAAACTCATGTGTATATGCTTCTGAAGAAACATAGATCATGCTATTAGAATGGTACAATATTTCCTGCAGTCTAGAGTTTTTGAACGACAATGGATCCAGAATCGTCTAATGCTTTCTCTGTCGTTGCTATTTTTCCAAACTATTTGCCAGTGATAGAAAAAAACCTGCATGAACTAACAGTGAGCTCTGATTAATTGTAGATTATAGTAGCTTTGTCCTATTCATACTTTAATGTGACCAATATTAAGCTATTGTAGCCAATTCAAACATTTCCTAAATGATTACTAATATATATGTTAAAAAAGCAAAAAGAAAAGATCAAACAGAGTCTGGTGGCAAATAAAAAAAAAATACTTATCCAGTGCCCCTTGCTTCCCCCCAACTATCTTGTATAGTTCTTTCTCCTTCTCTGATTCCAAGAATGGAAAATTCACAGCCAAAACCAGACATAAAACACATATCAAGATTGCAACTACATCAAATCTTTTATCACTGTTTCCTCATTCAAGCAGATTAATTGCCTTCACATTTCTCACTTCTCACCTTTCCGAATTGGCAGGACGGCTTGTCACAGGTTTGAAGATTGATACACGTTCAAAGCAGCAATACAACAAATACACAAGGCCAATACTGAATGGTGTGAATAAGTCAAAGGTTTTGCAGAGAAAATGCCCTCCTGGAGGGAAAAAAAAAAACAATTAAAAGGGAAAAACACATACTATTTTATATTCTATCTTTCCATCAAGAAATTGAGTTTATCTTTCTGAAACCTAAACGAAACCAAGGCAGAATGCTTGGGCTGTAGCTTCTTAATGAGTTTGTGCTCATCAAAGAACCAAGTGTGTGTTTTCTCATTCTGTCTCAGGCTTTATTAGATAACCATCTGCTACATAATTTATCATAGCAGTAAAGCTTTACCCACAGACTTCTTGAAAAACTGAACTGGGAAGATCTTGATGATCTGGTAATAGTCATGGCCAGGATTACATAAATCCATTTTATGCCTGTGCCCTTTCTTGTTTCATGCAACCCTGTTCAGACATATCTTATTCAGCTCTCATTTGGATTATTGCAATGCACTGTACATGGGGCTACCCTTGAACACATTCAGAAGCTACAAGTTGTCCAGCATGCAGTGGCATTAGTAGTTATGGAGACACCACATTACATCCATGTAACACTATTACTATAAAGGCCTCTATTATCCTGTTACAAGAATATCTACATATATCTAAATGCATTTTAGAAACAGCAATTCACAATGACAAAAAAATAAAATAAAAAAACAAAAACAGCCCAAATTGGAACACCTTGTCACTTATAGTCCAAAGTTTGAACAAATATTTTCAAGGGAAATGCTTCATAAATAGAAAAAGACAAAACAGACTGGAGAATATCTAACTCCAAAATCAGAGGAGGATAAAATATAGAGGTAAGGCAAAATGCAACAGCACCTGTCCGTATAACAGAGAGTCCTGTGAGGAACTGACAAAGCGTCAGCTGTTTGCTTAAAATCTCTTGGATGTTTTCCTGCCCTTCTACTGAGAAGCCCTGAAACACACAAAGTTAAATGCATAATTGTTTAATATCACCATCTATAAGATTAAAAAATAATGGCTCTTCAGGTGTTAGCGCTATCTTCCAACCAATCCACCGTCAGAACTAATCTGTCCTTCTCTGGAGTGCCAAGTTTCGCCTTGGCTGATTGAGCAAAACATTGCTGCCACTTTCTCATCTCTCTCTTACCAACACCAACCACAGTAGAATATGCTTGTTGCCTTTCTGCTCCCTTCATTTATTATAGCACCAAATTACAACTGAGATATGTAGATTTGGGGTGGAGGGAGAGAACAGAAGAGAAAGTAAAATCAGTAGTGAAGTATCTTCCCTCTGGTTATAAACTGATAGGCATCATCTGTCTAAAGCAGTGGCCCTCAACCTTTTGGGCACCAGGGACCGATTCCACCAGAGGAGGTGTGGTTTTGCATGCTCCCTAATCCCAGAGGGGGCTTTCCTTGTTTGCACAGCCCAATTGCTGACATGCTGACATAAAGGATCGTGTTCTCCCTTTTACCTCATTTTTCTGTATAATCCTATTGGCAATACTCACTGAACATGCCTGTATGTAGATTGAGGGTTATTTTATAATAATTTTTAAGGAACCACTGCTATCGGTTTTCGATAATGTCTAGCTCAATGGCCAAGGTTATTCTGACAGAGGGCAGCAGCACTCAGGTCTTATACACGTGAGGCATTTAGGGAAAGGAAAAGGATGGAGTTCAGATTCCTATTACCTCTAGAGAGCCTTTGGAACTTGGACATTAATGGGAAAATGATAATTGACCTTTCATTGAGTTTCATAGGCTCTTGACTCCAGAGTTTGCTGCGTTATTAAATAAAGGCATATCCCTCTGGGATAGATTGACTATGCATAGTTAAGTCCATATAATCCCAGGAATCAAGTTCAATTCAAAGGTATTTTATAATTATAGCAGCTAGATAAAATTTGTCAACTACATCTCGGACCTTTCACAAAAGGTCATTCTCTTGACCAAAAAAACTCTCTAAGAGTTTTGCTTCACTTAGGACATAAAAATATGTTTTATTAGCTGAAAATAGAGGCTCGGTATTTACACGCAACAAGATCAGCTATATAGTTACATTGAAGTTTAAGTTTCTCAAGGACATTTGTAACGTATAATTTGGTGACATTCAGGGAACATATGTATATATATATATATATATATATATATTTCATTTCCACACAGTTCATTAATCCAGTTCCAAGATAAAACAGAATGATCCATGAAGTAGCTGCAAAGGAAAGCTAGTATTATGATTATTTTCCTAATTTGACTGCATGTCACAGCATGCTATGAAAGGTAAGCTGCAGATAATGCCCACAGGATAAAAGAGAGAAAAAAAACATACCCCATCGGCCATTAAGAAATGCACCCCCTTCTGATCAGTGTTGTCCAGCACAAACTGCTGAAAGGCAGATATGTTCTCAGGACGGGTGATGTCGCCATCTCCCTCAACACCCCCTTCACCTAAGTGGGAAAACAAGGATTTTGATTTTGAATCACATATATTAATACCGTACTTACCGAAGAATTGTTTTTTTAAAAACCTCCTGTTTTTAAAAAAATAATTACCTAACTTTCAACAGGAAGTATTTTAGAAAGTTGTTTAGTAAAAGGAAAGGCATTTTTCTTATCCCAATACTGCCAGTTTTTCCTATTCTTAGATAATTAATGTTCTTGCAGAAAACCATGCATCCATTGCGAATGGTTTTTTAAAAAAAATGAAAACAATTTTGTTTGCTTACCATAGTAAGGCTCGAAAAGCTCACTAGATGCAGCATAGAAATCTTCCAATTTGAAATCGTTTGGTCCTTTTAAGGTCATCCCAAAACCTTTTGCATGCCACTTCTTCCTCCAGAGGATATATTCTGAGAAACCACCAGGGCCAGCACATACATCAGCAAAATATAGCAGTTCAGCAGAACTCTCTTTAATTAGTGGTTTCTGCAAACAGAAAGGATAAAAATTCAATCACCGCAACTAAATCAATCTCCCAAGTAAATAGTTGCTGATATCAATCTGTTAAATTGCTTAGCTTTTGAGGTGCTTAATCAACCTCCATTTCAATAAAGCTCTAAGGATTTTCCTACTCACTTTTCCCATTCAGAGAAGGTACCAGAGATACACAAATAAATGAAAACCCTCACCCCACGAGAATCCTTTGGGTTTGTAAACATGTGGTCGAAGACATAATCTATGTTTGCCATCTTCATTGCAGCTCTGTAAGTGTAAGATGGGCACTTGTTAAGAGTTTGCCCTTAACTGACCAGATATGTTGCAATGTGTAGTGTATTCTCTGACCTATTTAGGAAGAAAGCTCCGCGGATCATCTCATAGGGATTTGATCTTGTACGAGCTCGGCGCATCTCCTCTCCATCCAGCACATCAAAAACAGTCTGCAGAAAGAAATTAGAAAATCTAATCGGGGAAGGGGACCTAAACAGAACATTTTGCTGCTCCATACTTAGAACTTTATTTTACTTTACAGAACCCAATTAGGGGGAACAATTAGCAATGGAACATTCGTTCTTTAATCAGAATGTAAGCTTCATTAAGTAGACAAGGCCAAAAAAATTCAACCAGTGGTAGGATTCAAATAATTTAACAACCGGTTCTCTGCCCGAATGATTTCTTCCAACAACCAGTTCACCAAACTGCTCAGAAAATTAACAACCGGTTCTCCCGAAGTGGTGCGAACTGGCTGAATCCCACCACTGAATTCAACTCCAGAGAATTGCTAAAAATACTTTTATTGAAATTGGCTACAATAACAGAAAGGAGCAGAGCACAAAGAGGGTACACAAATAGGCAAGGAAGACCAGGGCCGAGGGGGAGCGGGGGGGAGCTATGAAAGACAGAGTGGGTCTGGTATGTGAATGGAAGGGGATCCTTGCTAGTGAGGAGAGTACCAGGAACAAAAATGGTCCAACGTATCATGCTGCCAATTTTCATGTGCAACCTCAAAGCCGCAGGTTTTTCTTCCATAACCGGATCTCATCAACTTTCAGAGATGACACTGCTTGACAGTGGAAGCCTACAAAATGGCAGGACATGTACACCTCAATCTTGGTACACAACTACCAAATATCCTCGATGATTAGACCAAGGGTCTTATAAATCCAAAATGTCCTGCCACCACTGTTGTGTGTGCCAGGTGTAGCATTTCCTCTCGTAATTCCACCAAAGGCAAATAAAGGTGACCATGATAATGCAAGAAGCCATCCTCAGATTTAAATAGAGGTATCTTGAACTGGTCCGGGTTACACTGGTGTGCTAAAGCTGAGCCCGAGTGAAATGGTTTCTTCCCTGCAGGTTTCAAATATGTGCTGTCAAGGAGGTGACTCCAAAGTGGCTTTCTAGCTGCAGTTTTCTAGCTGCAATATTGTGGCTGTGAAGGGCATCTGCTCCATCATTTGAGAGCCTGAACAAGGCATCTTCCCATTTGCATGGGGCTGGGACACATAGATCAAGAAGTTAAAGCATGAGAATAAGGCAGACCATCAAGCCTGGCAATAACTAAGTTGCCAGGCTATGCATAGTTGCTCCAGGTTCTGGTGGTTGGGTCATATATATACTGGATATACTGTGTGCCTTCAGATGTTGCTCCCAAACCTTGAAAGCACCCTTGAGAATGAGCAGCTCTTCCAATATGGTGTCACTGATTTCATCTGCAGTTAACCTCCCTAAGTAAAAGGAGCAGAGCAGAGGTGATTGATTTGGTTTGTGCCCTGCAAGAGCAATGTTAGGGGCAGGCACTATAGTGCTTTATACTACCTTTATACTGGGGTCTGAGTGCTGAAAGAGTACGGATACAACATCTCCAGTTATTGGAAAACCTCATTGGAATGGCTCTTTGTTTCACAGTGGCCCAAAGAAGGAAGTAATAATATGCGAGAAAGCAGAAATAAACTTGTAAGAGAAGTTTGCAAAATCTAGGAATCACTGCACATCTTCTTCGTCACTTGACAGCTTTGTTACTTTGTTACTTGGTTTACTCGAACCTTGATAGGATCTATGCCCAGGCCTTCAGGTGAAAATGAAATAGCCCAGGAGTTGTCTTGGCGAGATCAAATGTGCACTTTCCAACTTGGGAGTACAGGCAATACTTTTGGAGACATTGCAGGATAAATTTGGCATATATTCCTGTGGTACCCTGGAGTAGATCAAGATGTTGTCCAAGCAAATAATCGCTAACGGAAGATTTCATGAAAAGCTGGAAGACCATCAGGATTTACAGAGTCTGAATGGCATGATCAAGTATTTGAAATGGCTAAAACTGATCTGCAAGGTGATAATCCCCTTTCTTGATCTAGATCACACAGTACACTCCATGAAGCTCCAGTATGGTGATGACAATGACAGAGAAAAATGAGCAGAATAGGATTATCTGTCATTTTACCTCCCCAGTAGAGGTCCCTGTCCTATTTTTGAAGAATAAATTTGCAAGGGAGAGCTTCATCTTTGTAATGACTATACCTAAATCACATAACTCTGCAACCAACGTTCTCTTCTGCTGATCTTGGATCTCCTATAATAATTATTCTCAATGAATTCACAGAGATCCACTATCTCTAGCTCAGAAAGTACATATAATCTTTGGAATAGTTGCTCTGGGGACAAAATTTATTGTGCGATCACAGAAGTAGTGTAGGGAAAGATGGTCAGTCTGCTTGGCACTGGATACATCATGGAAGCCCACATTCCAGGTCAGCAGAGTTTGGGCAACTTTACTATGAATAGTGCTTGAGTGGTCCCTGCAGGTTTCCGCATGATAACATATGAGTGGTATCCCTGCTCTATGATTACCTGATGCAGCTAGCAGTTGTGATTGCTAATATGGCAATGTGCCTAGAGGGCACAATGGGCAGTGGGACACCAAAACATCTAGCCACTCTAGGCAGATCGCCATATTAGCAATCACAACTGCAAGATGTATCAGGTGATCATATTTGGTTCTCTTTGTTATATTTTGTCAGTCAGGCTGCATGGTGTTCATATGGAGGAATAGGACTGGAAGCAAATTTTCATGGTCCAGTTTCAAAAACAAGGAAGAATGCCAGAGCACTTGACAACCAATGATCTGGGGACATACAATACCACCTATGCACAGGGCTTTCTGAGGAGCTGGAGTCAAGCATACACCACAGGTGTGCTTTAGGGTGTGTAGCTGGCAACCAGGAGATGAAGATCAGGGCATGAAAACGGTGCATATGCAGACCAGATGAAGAAAATAAGATGAAAAAACAGGAACGGAGCTACTGGGAAGAAGACATGGAATGTGCATTTGCATGCCAGGGAAATTTCTGATGAAAAAAATATACTTGCATGTGAATTTCTGGTTTCTGTAAATTAATAAGGCTATCTCGTGTGAAAATTACCAGGAAGAGAATCCCCATTCCCCCACCCCCCATAAAAGTAGAATATCAGCTAGAAGCTATACATTCTACACATACACCTTCTAACCAAACCACTTTTCCAGTCAATCTGGTCTGAAACCTGGTAAGATTATAGGCATGATTGCAAGCGTATCCCTCTACTCCTGAATTAAAATGCTTTACAAGTGAAACTAAATACAGCCTACCATAATTAGAGAAGAACAGGAATTTATGGCTAAGTGCAACATTCCGCTTCTTCTCTCACATACAGGAGACTTGCTACTTGAGGATGTGAAAAAACAATATATTCCCTTTTCCTGGATGGACGAAAGGACCATATACATGACCAAGTTTCATCCTGGCAGTTGAAGCTCTGATCCAGCAAAATTATCTGATAGAAATCTTTCTATTTTGTAACATTTATTAAAATAATGAAAAGAAAAATATGTTACCCTGGAAATATTTTCTAAAGGGAAACTCTACCCAATCGTTACATCCACTGGATAGAGAAGGACTTGTATGAGTTAAAATATTCTTATGTCCAATTCTCATGGGTGGGACAGAAGGCCAAATGCTAACTGGAATGGTATGCCTCAATTCGGATTTGTTAAGAGTATTTTCTAGAGCACAGCTTATTGTAGCCCGAATGATTAGGAATGGTCTTCTCACTGAATGACCAGAAATTGATAAAGAGGAAATCAGTTTTTGGATTATAGATCTGTGTCTGGAGCAATCATCAGATGCATCAATTCACACTTCCCCACTCTGGATAGCACAATTTTCCACAATGGCTCTCTTGTCTAGGGCTGAGCTCCAATAACCAGCCTGTATCACAAGCAATCTGAGAAACATTTTGTTAACTTCCTACATACTATCCAGAGAATGTAGGAAAGGACATCCAAGATCTTCTGACTGAGTCAGATATTTGTTTGCCAGGCAAGAACTCAACTACTATTCAATTGCTCGAATAAGGTTCTCTTTTCCTTGCTGCCACCCTCTCTAGGACAGCGGTCCCCAACCTTTCTGGCTTGGGGGCCCAGCGGGGGAGGGGAGAGGGAATGGTTACAAGCAAGCAGTAGGCATGCACACACACAGCTCTATTTCCGCTTGAACAAATAGAGCTTCACTCATATGGTCCGGTTCTGAACGGGTTGTGGACCACTACTCTAAGAGACCCACTGTTGTGCTTTTTCTCCCATTCTTTTGAATGTGTTCAGTGCAGGATCCCTGTAAGAGTCTGTCTCTGATATCAAGGCAAGGAGTCAATCTGAAGCTTCTGAAAATAATTGGGGAATTGGCTTCCACCACAAAAGGAGGAATATCAAGTGAATATCAGGTATTCATATAAGTCAAATCAGTATCAGACAATATCAGTGCATCATATAAAAACTGATGGTTTGCATTTGTTTTTCCATGATTGGACTCAATAATATTGTACATAGATTGCAATTTCACAATCACCTAACAACAAACTCTTCCTTGGGAGCACCCACTTCAATATTATCAGAGTGCCATCCTCAAGAGATTTTGGGATGCATTCTTTGTAGTCGTCAAACTAGCTTCATTCAAAGAGGATAAGACTATTCATGTATTCTGTTTGTTAGGCATAATTACTCCATTTTCAGGACAGAAACTACGCTGAAACATACACAACTTTAAGATTGTTCATCTAAAGCAACTCATCCAAAGTTCGGTCTGATTATTAACTCAGTAGAGAAGGGGGAGAGGAAACAAATAGGGGAGCTACTTAAGCCTCCATGTTACTGGAAGCTACTCTTTTCTAAATGTCTCAAAACCGTCAGCCCAGATTGTTCTGCCTTTGCACTGCACTGGTATTTCTCCTTCTACTGACAGGCCTGTTGTGGTTCCAGGAGATAAAATTCACCTTGCACTGGAGCATGCTGTGTATGAGTTCTTGTCCACAGAATTCCGTTTCATCATCAATCACCAGTTTCTTCTATAAAACAAAACGTGGGGGAAATGAATCAATACGTGTAATGCATTTGTCCAAGACTGTGTAACACTCCCAACTCAAAAGAAGAAAATATGATTCATAACCCTGGAGGACCTGCACATGGTATTTGATGGTACCTCTTATATCAAATGTTTCTGTTCCCAGGATTGCTGGCAGCAGCAGCAGCCTAAGCCCAAGTGAAAAGACCCCCCCCCCTCTTTTTAATGAATCGGTGACTGGTGCAACTTGCATGAACCATCATTTCCCATCTGAATCATTACGCAGCCCTAATAAGATCATCGCCTTTTTTTTTTAAAGATATGGTATGGTTAATAAAATTTAAGACTGAACCAAAACAGTGAAGGAAGAACAATTTACAAACAATGTAAAACCCATTAAGACAATGTAGACATTTTAGACACTGGGGAGTTTGGAGTGCTTGCAAATAAGAAATGTTCAGCCATTCAGCATGAGGAAAGGAAGCCCTGCCTCACCCTGATGTAGTTTCACAACCTCATCACCATCAGTGCATTGGCCACATTGTTCTTTGTTTTAGAGCACCTGATCAGACAGAGATGCTAAATCTACATAAACTACCTTACTATAAAAACCACCATGGGGAGACCAAACTTTTGCTTATCACATATAAATGGATACAAAAAAAATAAAGCTTTGTGGGGCAGGGAGAGGGGAATCAGCAAAATTATCTTTGCTAACTGAACATTTATTTATTTATTTATTTATTTATTTATTTATTTATTTTTCATATTTGTATACCGCCCTACTCCCGAGGGACTCAGGGCGGTGAACAGCCATAAATAAATACAAAGACATACAAAAGTTAAAAACTATTTAAAAATATTAAATAATTTAGGATTAGGTTCAAAGATTAAAACATCCAATTTAACTAAAAGAGATTTAAAACCCAATTTAAAGCCAATTTAAAGGCCAATTTAAAAGGGAGAGTTAGGCCAGACCAGCCTGTTGGAATAAAAACGTTTTTAGGGCGCGGCGGAAGATGCGTAGGTCTTGGATCCTCCGTATCTCCAGGGGGAGCTCATTCCAGATGGCAGGTGCCCCCACAGAGAAGGCTCTCCTCCTGGGGGCCGCCAGTCGACATTGTTTGGCTGACGGCACCCCGAGGAGCCCCTCTCTATGGGAGCGAACTGGTCGGTGAGAGGCTACTGGTGGCAGAAGGCGGTCTCGTAAGTACCCTGGTCCTGAGCCATGGAGCGCTCTAAAGGTAGTAACCAAAACCTTGAAGCGCACCCGGAAGACCACCGGGAGCCAGTGCAGCTCGCGCAGGAGGGGGGTCACATGAGAGCGCCACATTGCTCCCGTCACCACCCGCGCGGCCGCATTCTGGACCAGTTGGAGTCTCCGGGTGCTTCTCAAGGGGAGCCCCATGTAGAGAGCATTACAATAATCCAGGCGTGAGGTGACAAGGGCGTGAGTGACCGTGCGTAACGAGTCCCGATCCAGAAAGAGACGCAACTGGCGAATCAGGTGAACCTGCTAAAAAGTCCTCCTGGCCACGGCCGTCATATGTTGTTCTAAAGACAGCCGCGAGTCTAGGAGGACGCCCAAGTTGCAAACCCCATCTGTGGGGGCCAACGACTCGCCCCCAATAGTCAGAGATGGTGCCAACTGACTATATTGGGACGACGGAAACCACAGCCACTCGGTCTTGGATGGGTTAAGCCTGAGTCTGTTCCTCCCCATCCAGATCCGTACGGCCTCCAGGCATCGGGACATCACCTCGAGGGCATCGTTGGGGTGGCCTGGGGTGGAGATGTACAGCTGGGTGTCATCAGCGTACTGATGGTACTTCACCCCAAAACCACGGATGATCTCACCCAGCGGCTTCACATAAATGTTGAACAGAAGGGGCGAGAGGACCGATCCTTGTGGTACCCCACATATAAGGGGCCTCGGGGTCGACCTCTGCCCCCCTGTCAACACAGACTGCGACCGGTCAGAGAGAAAGGAGGAGAACCACTGTAAAACAGTGCCCCCCACCCCCAACCCTTCCAACCGGTGCAGCATGATATCATGATGTCCATGTATGAAGCTGACTCTTAAAGTAGATTTTTAGATTTTCATATCCTACTAGTATTTCACAACAACAGAATGACTTATGGCAGCTGAACTGGAATAGAAGCATTCCTGCAAAGCCCCTTCCCTGATATGGTCACAAAATTCTCTCCACGGAATTCTGAGAGCAACGGGCAATTTATTAAGACTTTACGTGAAATTGAAATTAATCTAACACGTACAAGGCTAACAAAATATTCATTTTATACCAAGATCAATGCAGACGGCTGAAATTCAAACCTATAGTTCTATTTTATAGAAAAATCTCTTTACAGAGACAATGCTAATAGTCTATATCTATATCTCCAAGACTTTTGGGGAGTTGGGCAGCATATAATTTTAATACATCATTTTCATTATCATCTTCTTCATCATCATCATTTATTTCCTTATAATAGGAAATTTGGTACTTACAGATATGGGAACAAGGAGTCTGCCTTAATTGTATTTTTCAGTACATGAACAATGACAGATCCATTCACTGTAAGTAGCAGGCATGGCATATTTTTAGTCTAAGCAACATGGAGAAAGCAAGCTTATATAAACTCCCCTAAGAATATAGTATCTCAGCAGTAGACAGCACATCATTTAACAATATGCCAATATCCAATAGAGGGGAAAAAACTATTCATCTCTCTGCTATTACTTACACTCTGCGCTACACTGCCACTTTTTAGAACATGTAAATATTGAAGAGCAGTGGTCTATGCCAGACAGACAAATGGCATTCTATAAATGAGAATATCACTGGAGCAAATGTGATTTCCTATTGTTCTGTTTAAACAGCTTGTCACGTTATTCAAGCTTTCACAAATACAGTAATCAGAGGAGTGAAGAGGCACTATTATATAATTTGAAACTGACAAACAAGGCCAGCCAGTCACACATTCAAGTGCATCAACCTGCTTATTTTACAGGGAGTACGAGCTGAGAAGAGCCTCCCAAGCACAAAGCATGAATATGTATCCCAGCCACAAAAAAATATCAGCAAGGCTTCTTTGGCACATAAGAAAATAAAACAATTTTGTTTACAAGTACTTTTCATAAAATAATGTTAAAGAATTATAACTGCTTTCCAGGCCTTATGGATTCTCAGTCCTATGGCTACAAAATTCACTTGGCAAACATAAGCTAGATGTAAAAAATAAAAATGGAACCATGACTATGACACCCTGAAAGAACAGAATTAAAATATGAGGGGAGCCTTCAGTGGAAATTCATTTAAATAGGTTTTCATTAAAATCATGTACTAAAATGTGATATGTAGGTCTCACCAGTAACTGTATTGAAAAAGTTAAAAAGATCAAGATATTCTACTTATATTTAAAGATCAAAGTTATTATTTTAATATGCTTTCATAGTTTCAAGTATTTAATAAAACTTTGACTCATTAGGTGAAGTTTAAGACTATTACTATAATTTTCCACCTGATGTATCTTTTAGCATACTTGGCCACTTTTCTGATTTTAACTAGCACTTTTTCACTCTTAACCAATTCAGCATTTAAATATTATTTTTTTGTTTACCTAAGCAAGTAAAGAAATTTACATTCCTGAGATGTTATCATTGATCAAAATTAATAAAAATTATTCATTTGTCTATCACTCTTTTATTCCCAGGGCTATGCTTTTCAGCAGTTCAATTACATTTCTTTATTTCCTGAGTGATCTTTCAGTAGTTTAAAAAAAAACCATTGAATCAAAACATAAATATTTTAGCATTTGTGTATAAGTGTTCTAGCAATTTTGCAGACCCTGCTTAACAATCTTCATAATGCATTAACATATTTTCTCTTTCTTAGAACTTTCTTTAGAACTTAGAACTAATAAAAAATAATAGATCTCTTTATCTACAATATTTTTGCTTTGTTTTTCAGTAGACACCAGTTATAAAGATTTGGCATTGATTATTTCCTTTGTTGTGCAATCTGAATACCTTTCCTATCGTCATCCAATCTTTCATTTCTTCAGCATCTGGAATTTCTGTGGTACATTCCGGGCACCAGTCCACCTGCTCATAAGCACTAGCCTGTGCACAAGAGAAAGATGATAAGTATAATAAATCTGGCTCAATGACACCCATAGATCAGAAAACCAACCTCAATCCAATTTTTACTTGAATGCTTGGAGAGAATCTGAGTAATTTCTTACTATTACTATAGGTATCAAAACATTCTTCTCATCCAAGAATAGAAATCAGTGTCTGATTTCAGGCAGTAAATCCTCAAATGAGGATTTTTATAATGAACTTTACCCGAGTCAGTAGCACAAAGGAAAATATCTATCAGATCTCTTCACACTAGGATATTCTGAGAACAGAGTATCAGGAAATTTAAAGGAAATGTAATTACCTCTGGCTCATCTTGCCAGTTGATGTTCATCTCTCCATCAAATCCTTTCAGAATGAGTCCCAATCCACGCCTTCCTTTTTGTTGTGAGGCTTCCACAATCTCTTGCCTTCCCTGGCCATATTTGCCAAGACCTTCACCTTCTCGAAAGCCCATCTTAGCCTACAAGGTAATAGAGAAGTTATTTTATATCCTTCCATTACTTTTCAGCAAAGAGCACTGGTCTGCCTGATTAAAAATATATTTTTACAGAAGATTTCCAGATTCTCCTTTCAAACATATTCACTTAACCAAGAGGAAAATTATATATAGAAAATGAAGCAGAAAAAAAACAAATGATGAAATAAAACTATTACAAATAAGCAACCTGCAGAGAACAGTTGTTTGTTACTATACTTGCGAGGCATCTTCATTTAACTATATTCAGTTGTCTTCCTTCAGTGCCAAGTTTCTTCTTGAACATAACGTTTCTATCCACAGAGATAACAATATGACTTCCATATACCAAATCACACATAAAGAACAAAATGCCCATTTTCTGTAAGGGAACATAAAGACCCACATCCTATGTAAAATCCAGAACTATCTTCTAAAACCCTAAAAAATACACAGACTCGGCTACCACCCTACAAAAGCACGCTCACAAATGAGTGTTTTACAAACTAAAAAAATCCTTTTAAATCTATTTCAAAAAGTCATCAAGAAATAATTAAAACAGATAATGCTACAATCCAGAAAGATACAAGTAGAGTGACTTTCCACTTCAGGTGAATTTATTGCATTCTATTTTATTGCCTATTGCCCAATCTTAGTTTCAATTAAAAATATGTTTTCTTCCCATATTAAAACTTTTCATTTCTTGGACTGTAACAGTCAAATGCTGATCTTTAAAAAATGTTTAAATAAAAATACAATTGCATAAAAATATTAAAACACAAAAAAATATACACACTGAAAAAATACATCCATGCTTCCATAAAGAAAAATAAGACTTTACTTTTCCAAAAAACAATCCCAACATAAACACTGCAGCACTTCTATCCCTTTATCAGAAGAATATCACACCCTAAGTCACAGTGGTAAAAACAAAACAAAAAAACAAAACAAAACAACTGGCATAAATACTTTTCCACATTAAAAAAAAGCTCAATCCATAAAATCCCTATAGACAAGTTATACCATAAAGAGAAAATATTCACAAAGACAAGTAAAACTGTCATTTACAGTTAATGAAAACACTTTGATACTAACTGACTACCAGGAGGAAAAAAAATAAAAGAAAACTATTATTTCTTTGCTCACCTTCAAAGACTCATTCTGGTTTGTTTAAGCAACCATGACTGAACAAATCCCAATTTGCATAAAGCATCCAAATAAAGCTGTTCCCCATTAGTAACTAAACCATAGCTTCTTAAACACAGTGATTATATCGAAGATGCAAAGTAACTATGGCTTTTAGGAAGTTCAAGGCTCATTTTCCACCAATTACCAACACAGAAGTAATCCGTGATTCTGCCTAACATACTAAAATGTTTGTTCGAAAGTATATTACATTTTGTACAAAAATATTACTTTATGTAATGTTTGAAAGATCATATCTGACTTTCTCATAAAACAGACTTGTTTTGCACTTCATTAAGGTTTTTAGTGCTTGCCTAAAAGGAAATATCTTATATTTCAAAAAGGTCACATATACACATATTTTCAGGCACCAGATACATACGTATATAAAAATGCATTACATACAGACTTGCATGTTTATAGGAAATACATTGCCAAAGGTCCTAAATAAGGAATTTCATTTATCTTTAAAGATTCACTGAACTAGGAATGCATCTGTACTTCTATCATTCAGATTGTTCTGTGATAATTTAGTTTGTAAAAGACAAGAGTCTATTCATTAAAATATTAAAATCATATGGGTAAACTCAGTTCATGTCTAATCCATACCCCCTAGAATACTAATAAATATATAGAGTTAAATACATACTGATAATGTATGTAGCACAGAGATGTTCAATATGATCACTTAATTTTCTGCTAAGAGCTACTGAAAATCCTATCCAAAGTAATTGTGCACCTAGGCCTTCAATGATGCTTTGCTTTTTAAAACTTTTTTTAATGTACATATTTTGGTTATAAGCCATCCTTTTAAAGGGTGACATACAGTCTGTGTAAAACACAAACAATATGATCTACAATAGCTAGAAAATAGAATTTTCAAAAAATAATTTAAATACTATATGCCAAACCAACTCAACAAAGCAACAAATCAATTTATTTGAAAATTAGGGCAGAAAAAATATGAAAGGGAAGACAGTTCAGTGTATTGAACTAAAAAAGAAAATTCTGATTTCCCTAGATATTCCCTGATTGTTCTTCAAGTACAGGTATTCTCCACTTACAACAGTTCACTTAATGACTATTTGAAGTTACAACAGCACTGAAAAAGTGATTTATGATCATTTTTCAGAGTTATGACTGTTGCAGCATCCCCATGGTCATGTGATTTACATTCGGATGCTTGACAACTGACTCACATTTATGATACTTGCAGTGTCCCTGGATCCTGTGATCTCCTTTTATGACCTTCTGACAAGCAAAGTCAATGGGGAAGTCAAATTCACTTAACAACCATGTTACTAATTTAACAACTGCAGTAATTCACTTAATAAATGTGGCAAGAAAAGTCATAAAATAAGGCAAAACTCACTTAACAAATTTGTCACTTAGCAACATAAATTTTGGGCTCAATTGAGGACTACCTGTAAAACGGAGCTAGAAGTTTATTCCACAGGGATTGCACCGAGTCTCAAAATGCTTGAAAGTGAAAACAAATGCCCTCATATCAAGCTACTAGTTCCTGGAGGTAAACAGAAAAGGATAACTACCAGGTTCTGAATAATAGCAGCTTAAACTATTTTAACCCTGGTGGGTTGCCAGTAACAGACTCTATGATGGTTGGAGATAAAGAAAATCAGAGAAAGACCAGCAACTGTAACTAAATGATAGAAGATTAAGGAAGCTCCACTAAGAGGCTATTACATTATTGTGACACTCCAAGAATATAAAGAGGTGTCTTAGTAGTGTTGAAAATCAGGAATCAATGGATAAAGAGATACCCTAACAAATGAAGAATGATAAACTCTAATTGTACTCTTAGGACCAAGCTGACAGATCCTACACAGCAAGAGGTATTCTGACCCACCATGAGCTTCTGGGACACACTGTTGTACATAGAGTAGCGGGATGATGTGCCCTCCACAAGGGAATCTGCACTGAAATTATTGCTGAAAGTGCCAAGAGAAGGCCGCCTCCCACTGTTCTCACTATCGGATTCACTGCTGCTTGTGGTGGAAGAATCTGAAAATCAAACAGAAGAAATAGAAGCTTCAAAAATCAGCACCACAACATATATTAGTCATGATCTACGAACATAGGTTACCTTTTATCAAATTGGACTATCTAGTTCAATACTGTCCCATTATTGGGCAGCAGTTCTCTGAAATTTTAGATTTCCAAAATGTCACATTCTGAAGTTGATACCAACTGCATTCACATTAGGTGCCATAATGCAGAGCTATGGAATCTGGAACATGCACATTTTAGGATATATCTTTTCTCTGTTTCCAAACACACGAAGATTGAGAATAATCAAATAGGAAGGATCTTTTTGAATAGAGAGAATGTGAGAAAGGGACCCTTTAGTTGCAGTCTCCTTTTGAAACAGGATCACATAACAGCTAATTTCTGTAGTGTAGCTGCAGTCCATTATAATAAACTACTATAATCCCAAAAGCGAAGAGAGGTACAATAACAAACAGTATAGGAAACCTCTGATATGTCAAGAGAACTTATCAATTTCCAAGCATCCCAGCTTAAGGTGTTGATGTCTATTAATCTAAATGCTTTTTAATAATTTAAATACCTTAAAATGTTTTCTCCTCAAAATCATCCAATCCATATAGCACATAACAACATCCCTGTTCCTAGTCTAAATATTAAGATCAGTTAATATGTGATGGGCAGAAAGGCTGTCCTGGTGACAACTCCTAACTTCAGGCTGTTTTCAACAACTAAAAACAGACAGATGAAGGACAAAAGAACTACCATTTCAGCTGATCGCTTAAAAATGAACTTTGCTTTAGATGTCTGTATTTTTAACGTCTTTGGGACTTAGTTACTTTATATTAATAATATAAATAATTATATTAATAATTTTATATTATTGTTTAGACAACTCATGACATGTTAGGTTATTGTATATTTCCTTATCTAAACAGAATCAGAATGACCAAAGGCAAAAAAGCAACAGGAGCTGGAATGTCTGCTGACTTCCTGCCAGCTTTCCCATTGACTTTCCTTGTAGAAAGTTGGCAGAAAGTGTTGGATAAGACAAGTACATGACCGTAACTGACCACAGCAGCACAGCCATGCAGCAGCAGTGAAGCCAATATATTTTGCCAAATTTCAATCCCATGGGAATCACACATCCTGGATTTTGGATTTCTGTAAGTTAGCCCATTTGAGGTACGCCGTTTCAAAATTGTTGCCCTGTGATGCACTGTTTCACCCAATTGAAGGTTATAAACAATCAAACAGACACGAGGGTTTTAGTTGTATAGCGATTCTTTTTAATTGTTCTCTTGTGCATAGCATTGGGTTCTTTGGAGTAAAGAGTGATACAATAACAGCAATATTATCCACCAAAATAGCTTCGATTCCCAAATCCATCTCAAAAGTCAAATTGGAATGAAGATAAATAAAAGGATAAATTCTTTCCAGACAGCTTGACATTTATAAGCAACTATTCATTCCGAGTCTGGCTTAAAATTACAAATCAGATATCAAACTAGTTTTTCAAAGCCACAGGATTTGCCTCCATTTCCTTCAAAGCCAATAAGATAATATTACTCCTGACTTATATATTTATCATTTATTTTTTACAATCTATTCTTATAAATTACAGTGTATATAGACAGCACTGTCTTAACTGATTACTAAATTCAGACTGCACAAGGATCCAAAGAATACATAGCTGGCCTCATTTTTCCATATATCTGTCAATATCCTTAGGTTGCACAAGCTAAAAACACTTCATTTTATGCTATTTTAGTTTGAAGGGAGTTGATTCCAGAGGAGCAAGACAGTGAAGTTTAAATACTTCATGTGGGGAAAAAGAATTAACACAGCTCTTCCCTAGGAATTCTCAGAGTGTATGTTTAATGGTACAAGTAGTCTACTTTAGTTTGGCAAGATTTCTGTATATAACCAAGGAACAATAAAGAACACTGCTTAGAAGCAGCTCAACATGTGTTGATTTTTGGAACCTGACAGGCTTCCTTCTCTCATTTGTGCAGTTATTCTAGCTGTGACTGGATGTTGAATGTTCTTTGACTATTCAAACTACATATACCAAGGCCTCGCTGGGCTGGGCTAAAATATTCCACTACCTTCTGATTCACAATTCTGATACCTCATAGTATTTTTGTTACAGTGTTCTCATTAATAACAATTCAACTAAGAACAGTGGGGAGATTGCTATAAATTCAATGCAACAAAGTTAGAGATAAATGTTTGAGTATGGGAGTTTTAAAATTATCATAGTTGCATTTTCCATCATACAATGTTCTCCAAGATGACTGAAAGCTTCAGGAATTTATGTAAAGATTGCTTCAATAAGTACCTTGAGTTGCATGGTTAATATTAAGTTGGGTTTCATCATCTGATGTGGAACTAAGAGTCAAACCCAACTCTTCTATCCTTTTTTTCTGCCTTTTCTGTGGGCTGCCATATTCAGGATCTGTTCTTCTTTTCATTTTTACTGTATGAAAATAAGAGTATATTTTACAATAAATTCATATACATCACATAATTGTAAAGCAATATCCTAGTTTCCAATCTTTTTGTAAATATCTTACATAAAAAATTGGAGTGCCTCTGTACATTTTAAATACTATTCATTTAAAAGAAAAAGAGTAGGAAAGGAGAAATAAATGCTGTCTGTTTTCAAAGAAAATATGTCTGAATAGGCCCCACAATTACCTTCCAAAACATTTTTGTTTTCTTTTAGAGCATTGGTTATTTTTTTAAAAAATATTTTACTTATTTCAATAAAATGTTATTTCTCCTGAATATTTTAACAAGGTAAAACATTAAAATATTAAGCCTAATTAGTCAGATGCCACCAATTTTGTGTTTCTAAATCATAAACATTTTCATTTTTTTACTAAATGATTAAAACTTACTTTCGTACAAAATATACTGAATTCAACATTTACACGTTAAACCTCTAAAATTCATTACACTATGCTTTTTATTGGAAAGCATAAATATTTCATAATTTGCCAGAAAAATTATATCAAAACTAACTGAATTTGATGTAAAATTCAGGTAGGTTTGGAAACATGTTTTGGATTATAATCCAAGAAGTGAGTTCATATCAAACACAAAATTTATAAATTGAATCATACGGATATAGCTGTCAATTATTTAAATACTGTTTTATTTTAATATTGAATCCAGCTTTCAAACTAATTTTTTTATTTTTGTTTCTTTCTCTGATTATATTGTATTGTAATTAAAAATAAAATAAAAACAGTATATTTGAGACTAGAATCATAAATATTTTTATGTGAGCCCCATTTATACAATGGAATTGACTGCTGAATCAAGATTTGTAAAGGTTAGGGACAGGTCATATATTTAAAACCAGAAAAATAAGAGGGATAATAAACATACAACCAGTTTAGCTGGTATTTATGTATTAACAACATGTACCATAAAAAAACTATTGTTTCTAAAAAAAAGTTGAAGCATTAAAAAAGCTACAAAAATTAAAAATGCTGATTTCATTAACACAAAGATACATTAATGCCACTAGAGGTATCCAAAAACTTTTTGGCATGGAACATACAGCTGCCTGCTTGCAGCTGGATACTTTCAATTAAGTGAAGAATTCTTACATTGTTATTCTTTTGATAACAATATCTAGAAAAAGTATAGTATGTCCTACATTATATAATTCTTTAATGAAGATGAGGTGAAATTGGCTGCATTGTATTTTCTTATTAACAAATGTGAATTCCATCATATTCATCCACACAGAAATAAATTACATAGACTCTTAAAAGAAAAAAATGCCATTCCTGTGAGAATCAGATGAACAGCTGCCTATTACAGAATATACTCTGGTCAATTCAGAGAATGGCTCAACATTTAACTCCTCTGTAGTCCAGTTTTATATAACAAAATCAAGTCCCATTTCATTCAAAAGGCCTTATTCCAGTACAATATAACTGGGGAAAAAAATGAGCAAGAGAGTACTGACTTTTATTAACTTTGGGACATAAAAAAAATTGCTAGAATACATTGCTATATTTTCCAGAATAATGGAATATAATATCAAAACTTTATTCTGATGTTGTTTGGCCTCGATGCCACGCCTAACCTCCCAATAGAAAGAGAAAAGAAGTATGAATTGGATGGACAGGCACTTTTTAAAGTATAAGGGACTCAGAATTATAAAGATAGAATTTTAATTGGGGTATCAGTTCCTGAGGGATAGAAAATACTTAACAAAATTTTGCAAGAAGAGAGGGAAGGAATGCCTTTACTGAAGAAGACACAGCCATAAAAGAATAAACAAAGCAACAGCACTTTATACACAGAGCAGAAATGGAATAGGGGAGCCCCATGGTGAAACTTGGGGAGCAAAAGGTGGTTGAAAATAAGTTTTTAAGTCTCTCAGGCAAACTGGGCAATCTTGAAAGCAGGTGAGCCTCAAAAACAAGCACCGCCGGGTCCAAAATAACCAATTTCCTTGGGAAGTAGGTTTAGATCCCAGGCTAATTTAACAGGAGAGGCCCCAAAAGCTCAGGTGGAGGCGAGGAGAAAGGCGAAGCAATGAAGGCAAGCTAAGGAGGAGTGAGAGACCGGGGGGGGGGGGGAACGGCCAACGACATGCGGGAAGACTGCGGTGGGAAAAAGTCATCGCCATGCTTATAACGGGCATAGAAGCACGCAGGGAAGAGGGAGCGAGCGGCGTAGGATCCTCTTGTGTGGCGGGAACGAACCGACCAGCGCCCTGGGAGAGAGAGCAAGAAGGGCGACCGGAGGAGCCGGCCGTGCACCGCCAGCCCTCACCTTCCTCGGCTCGCTCGCTTTCCCTCCCCGGGCCCCTTTGCCTGCTACACTCACAAGCGGGGGGGGGGGGGAAGGGGGCTCTGCCTCGGGCCGGAACAAAGAGGAGAGAAGGGAAGAGCAGGGCTCGGAGCTGTCCACAGGTGCGGCTGGGCTTGGCAGGAGGAACGGCAGCCCGCCCCCCCCCCCCCCAACTCTATATACTCCGCCACAATTCACTTTCGTTTCCCGGCAGCTTCTCTCTGGGGCGGGTTCTTCCTCTGAGCAGGCGCGAACTGATGACGCAAAGCAAGGACGGGAGGGGGGAAAGGGAGGTTGGGGGATGTGCGCCTGGGAGTGGCGCCCCTACCGGCGGGCGGATAGAACTGAGCAACGAACGGCCCGAGCTTTATTCCAGTTCCCGAAGGCAGCCGAGTTGGCAGGCGGAACTAATAACTTTTATTTCGTAAGGTACTGCTGTCGGTCAATTTCTGTAGCCTACGGATGAGGCAAGTTAGGGCTTTTTTTCCCCCCTCTGTTTTCCAACAGCTGCTAATTCTCTCTCTCCGTTTTATGAAACCGAGTGAGGTATTAATTGTAAACTTAGGGATTTTAGACGTAACTACATGGATGGGAATCACTGTGTGGGTTTTACATTATAATAGATAAATAATTCAAGTAATTTGAATTAAATACTAACATCGGGGTGTTTTTTAAAAACCCATCATCCATCGCCTTGGGAAAAAAATTGTGTATCCACTCCCATAACATTCAGAGGGTATGATCGTCTTTAATGAAACTGAAATTGTAGGTACCCATCATATTATTACTTGGAAGTTTAGGTATATTAGCTTTTTAATAAAGGTGATATTAGCATTTTAGCATGGCATTCATATCTCCTTTTGAAGTTCAGGAAATAATTGTTTTGTCCTTTGAGCCAAAGCAATTTCTTTCTTTTACATTAGCCTTTTCAGCAACTAAACAGAGGGAGCAAATTCTGGAAGCCCTCGAATAAACTTACAAGTTTTAAGAAACATATACACCTTGCAGGGAAGTAACATCACTCATATAAATTTGCTACTTGTGAAATTTTGTCTAGAATCACTGTTTTCTCTGTTCAGTTCTCACATGTAATCAATGTCTGATCACTTGCTTTCTAAAGTAGCACATACACTGTTTGTAAGTATCATTTGTTTCTGTCCCCTATATAACTATTTGAAATCCCCCTTAATAAATGCTTCTTGCTTTATCTGAATTACTTGGCAATTCATATTTTTGAGTGGTCAATAAAGCCCCTTTGCAAAAGTAAAAGTTTTTCTCTCCCAAATTCAGGGAATAGGTCACATAAATTCAGGGTGCTTGAGTTTCAAGGCAACAAGAGGTACAATGACAGTGATCTGTTCTGTCTGATAGCATCTGAATTAGATTGTCTTAGTGTGTTGTATGTGAGGACACCAAAGAAACTTTGGAAGCTACAGCTGATTCAAAACAAAGCGAAAGACATGAGGATGCTGATGGGATAGTTCACTAGGACCATACTTTTAACAATTTTACATCTTCGTTGGTTTATTCTCAGTCTGCTTCCAAATCCAGTTCTAGGTGCCATTTTTGCTCTTTAGAGCCCTTTCCAGCTTGTCTCTTGAGGATCCCCTGCTCGTCTATCAAGCTGTCTGCTTCAAAACAGTTTTCACTAAAAGCCCTTCTTAAATTACAATACTCCTACCTTTAGAGCTGAGACACATAACAGCAAAGAGGAGTTTTTCCATTTCAGTGGTCTTTTAATAAAGAACCACCTTGCTCAATACATTTATAGTAGGTCCTTCCAGTCAGCACCTAGGCCACTAAGGACCCCTTTTAATCTATACTACCAGAATTTAGCAATCATTTCTTGAGTTGCCAAAAAATCAGTGAAATAGTTTCCTGTCATTTATAAAAGTACAGTATATGAAAAAACATACAGTGCACTCAGAATAACAATGTAATATACAAATATTATTCACTTTATAACCCCATTTTTTCATTTTAAAAAAATCACTGTGATATAGCCCGACCTGCTTACCCTTGCCCTGCAATCCTTGCCCCAACAAAACACTAAGTGTAGCCCCCAGCCTTGGAAACAGTTCTTACATTATTTTGAAAGCATTTTACACTTTCAAACGTCAGGACATTTTAAGTGGTTGTTTTTCATTTTTCCTTTGTTGCTTTTCTATCTTATTGATTTTGATAGCAGTACACCTTTTTGTGGCTATAAGCTATTTCTTCTACTTTTAAAGTGAACTCTAAACTGCTCTGGATTAAGATTTTCTGAACCATAATAATAATTTAAAAAAAAAACATTTTAAAGTGCTATGAAGCAACTAAAGTTTGCAGAATATAACATAGTTCATATAAGCAAAGATATTAAGTAAAGTTGAATCATAAATACAAAGTATTTTAAATTCGGATAGAGGTCAGTGAGAAAATAATTGTTTTTCAAGTGTTTAAAGATACTTCATTTATGATTTTGTCGTCATTTTAGAATATTCACATAGATCTACTTCAGTCAGAATTCAATGTACTACTGAAGCTGTCACATGGATTTTCATCTGTCTTTTCCTGTGGTATTTCCTTACTCCATTTGTTTATTATTTATCACTCTATTTGCATTGTACCCTTTTTCATTAAACATGCATGCAGCCATCTACCCTGCTTTCTGGGGTTGAGAACTGAATGGTAATGCAGCATCAGTAACAAAATACATCTGGTTGAGCATTATGAGATATTTTAAATTGAAAAAGTCCTTTGAACAGCAGTTTTTTCTATCTTCAGTATTTGCATTAAGAAAGGAATTCTTATCTTACCTACTTTGTGACATTATGGTCGGATAGAAAAACTCAAGAGAAAAAGTATAGAACACTGACTTTAATAGCAAAGTTGTTCAGGATAGACCCCCCTCTTGGATTGAGCATGATGATAAAAATAAATAGCATCCTTCTCAAGTTTGATAGATGGAACTTTTTCTAAAAATTCGTTCACAGAACACTCTTCTGATAGCTGACCAAGAACTAATATATCATAAAAATAATTGGACTAAAAAAGCTCCTTGGGTGAGAAGCAAAACATCTTCAAGTAAAAACAAAAAGTCCAATTGCCTCTTGAAAAAGCACCTTTGAGCATATATATTTTAACTAGGTTGTTTCTATTAAATTTTAGGTAATATTTATGCAGAAGTATTGAAAATTCAAAAAAATTAACTTTTAAATACTACTGTATGTTGACATTGATATTTTATCTTCAAACAGTACAGGTGATGTACTTGAACAAAAAAACTATGAAAATTTGACTATTTATTTATTCCGCAAAAAATTAAAACTTCCATCTGTGGAAAAAGTAAGCGCTCCTTTGGTTCTGATAGCTGGCTCTGCCCCCCATTTGCAGAAACAACCTCAAATGTGTATTTCTTATAACTGCCCAGCAGCTGTGACATCACCTCGGAGGAATTTTCTTCCCACTCCTCCATTCAGATTTTTTTCAGCTGTGCAATGTTTGAGGCATTTCTTGCATGCACAGCCATTCCAAATTGCCCCACAGCACCTCAGGTCCAGCTTTTGACTTGACCATCCCAGAACCCTCAATTTTTCCCTCAGCTATTCCTTGACATGCTCATTGTTGTGTTGCAAGGTTCACTTTTAGTTGAGGTTTAAGCTTCAAGCATTACATTATCCTTAAACACCCACTGATGCAATGAAGAATTCATAGTAGATTCTATGAGGGTGAACTACCCAGGCCCTGATGCAGCAAATCATACCCTAACTTTAACCTAAGTTCCACCATCATGCTTTACAGTTGGAATCAGGTTCTTCTGGTGATACATTAGGTTTTCACTAAACATGTTTTCTGGTACTGTGGCCAAATAACTATCTTTGTCTCTTCTGTCCAGAGGACATTGTTTCAGAAGTCCTGGTCTTTGCCTAGATGTTCATGAGCAAACTTTAGTCTTGCCCTGATGTTCTTTCTGAACAGCAAAGGTTTCCTCTTGACGCATCTTCCATATAGATCTAATTTGTGCAGCTTGTGCATTTTGATATCAGCAATAACAACTGCTACTTATAGGTTACATTATGAAATTTTGAGGTTCTTAGAAACTTCCTTCAGCAACTTGTGTTCTGCTCTTGGGCTGAACTTGATGGGACGGCCTGGTCTGGATAAATTGGCAGTTGTTTGAAATCTTCTCCATTTGTAGATGATCTTCTATACAGTGGAATGATTAATATCCAATTTTTGGCAAGCTTTCTAAATCTCTTCCCAGAATCATAGACAATTATCTTCTTTCTGAAGGCCCTGGAGATATCTTTTGATATAGGCCCGTGATACCACACACTTCAGCAACTAAGAGTAAAGCAAACCAAATGTCTCAGGTTTGAATAAGACAGGTTCCTCCCAAATCTTCTCTAACAATATTCTCATCATTTGCACCAGATCTGGTACACATAAATCTAGTTTTAGGTATTTGAGGTGGTAATAGTACAAGTATACTTACTTTACCAATATTGTTAAAATGAATATCAAATGTTGAAATATGTTGAAAAAGTCAAACATTTCAATGGGAGTATACTTAACTTTTTTCACATGGCTATAACTTCACCAATAAATTCTGGGTTGAGTAGTCTGAATAGGACTTTGTCACATATGAGTTCTGCTGCAGTAATGTATTGACAACTATTAAGGCTGCTTACAATTACTTGTAATAATATTTAACATTTGCATTTGCAAAGTCCAGTTATTAAAGTGTATAATTAATCATTCTTGTTAAAGCCAAAATAGGTAGACTGAATTGACTGCACAAAAATTCATAAACAAAGAAATAAAAGATTATTTCTTTTTTATAATTTGCACCTTAATAAATAGATAAAATAATGTCTTCAAGTAATACAAAACAAAAAAGAAGGCATAGTCAATTGCTTGATGGTTTGAATGCAAAGCCTGGAACATGGGTGTTGTATACTTATGACAATAAAATTCTAGAATACTGGTATTGTGTGATCTGCCATTTGTTCAGAAATGCACCTTCTTCACGCTGCTTTTTCAGGTGATTTTCTTCACTTTAGTCTCAAGATATCCTGAGTAGTTACTTCCCCCTCCCACAAAATTTTGGATTAATTTCATTCTATTCTGGCAACAGAAATTGAGGAAAACAATTTAGATCCTTTTATGGAAAACACAGT